GTTAAAAAAAAAGTGGACAAGTAAGTAATAACGGCCAACTTCAGTGTATTTTGACTTATAGGAAAAAAAAAAGAGTTGGAGTCATAAGACCTTGCTGGGGAGCAAGTCCAAAATTAGCCATTAACTTACATGTTGTTGTTGTTTCAGTCATTTCAGTTGTGTCTAACTCTACATGACCCCATTTGGGGTTTTCTTGGCAAAGATACTTGAGTGGTTTCCCATTTCCTTCTCCAACTCATTTTACTGATGAGGAAACTGAAGAAAAGAGGGTTAAGTGACTTACCCAAGTGGTCACAGAAGTAGTAAGCATCTGAGACCAAATGTGAACTCGGATCTTCCTGACTACAGGTACTATACCACCTAGGTGCCTTTAATCTCTATGACCCTGAGCAATTAATTCACTTACCTAAAGGTAAGTAAGCCTCAGTTTCCTGAGTATTTACACCGACTACATCATGATGCTTCCATGAAATAATGACTACAAAAATGCAATGTAATCAAAAAATGCTGTAAAATGTGTCATTCTAACTCTTGTGATAATGGTGCTTTATATCATCATTTGACATTGAGTGTTGGAGCTGGAGTCAGGAAGACCTCTTCCTGGCTGTGTGACATTGGGCAAGTCACTTAAACCTGTTTGTCTCAGTTTCCTCATCTGTAAAATAAGATGGAGAAGGAAATGGCAAACCACTCCAGTGTCTTTACCAAGAAAACCCCAAGCAGGGTCCAGAAGAGTCAGACACAACTGAAAAAACTCAATTACAAAAAGTTTGGAAACCTTTGTGATTTATTAGATTCTTTAGAATCATTGGTATTTTGTGATTTACTCCACAAAATGCCCCACTTATTGAGCTCTACTTAGCATGAAAGAGATAACAAATGACTCCTTTCACTTGCCTAGCAAAGCTAAGATGTGAGAAATAACATGACAGGGAACCATTTAACTGCAGGGTTTTGTTCTGTGACATGAGCCTTACTCTTCTGACAACCTGTAGCACAAGGCAAATCATCAGTAGCATGCTGCCATCTTCTGGCCAAAATGAAGCAAAGTTTTTGTTTGAATCTCTCTCTCTCTCTCTCTCTCTCTCTCTCTCTCTCTCTCTCTCTCTCTCTCTCTCTCTCTCTCCATCCCATATTTTTTGACACTTTACTCCAGGTCTGGCATTGAATTTTATTAAATTCAACAACAAAAATGTATTAGGTGCTTCCCATGTGCTTAATCACTGTGGTTAAGTTGGACACAAAGATGAAAAACAGTACAGTCCTAGCATCTCACATACTAAGTGATTTCATCCTATCTTACATAGTCATTTTTTGCCAACTCAGTAATCCCTGAAGAAGTTTAGAATAATAAAATGACAGAGCTTAAGAGACCTCAGAGATCATTTCTCCTAAACATCTCATTTTACAGAAGAAAATGACACCCAGAAAATGGATGAGCCTTTCTCAGATGCTGAGTGACAGATCTAGAACCCAGGCCAAACATGTCTAAAACCCAGTACTTCAGACTCAAGAGACCAGAGTTCTTCTTCCAGTTCTTCTTTTGTTCCCTTCTTCACACTTACCTGTCATTTAAGCTATAACCTTTGCCAACTACTATCCCACCCAATGTTCTCTCAGGCTTAAGACCTCAAAATTACAGAATCCTAGTGGACAGCTAGGTGGCACAATGGAGAAAATACCAGCCCTGGAGTCAAGAGAACCTGTTCAAATCCAGCCTCAGACACTTAATACTTACTAGCTGTGTGACTCTGGGCAAGTCACTTAACCCCAATTGCAAAAGAAAAGAAAGAAAGATTTTTTTTTAAAATTACAGAATCCTAGCTGTCAAAGGCTCCCTGGCTTGAAACTAATCAATGTTTAAATTACACCAGCATACCTAAGGTCTCTGATAATGATCTATAAGTTATCTTCAGAGTTCATTCTATCATTTCACCACCCTGAAGAGCAAGAAATTCTCATTCACTGATTCAGTCCCATTCTTCACTTGGAAAAGCCACTTTCACAGCAGATACTATGCCTTCCCTCCCTCCCTGAATAAGTTATTCCACCCAGCCTGGAACTCTGCCCTGGAACTATGCTTGATTGGTTAGTGAATGCAAACCCATCCAAAGGAATATATATATCTAATTCATATCCATCCACCTCAGATACTTTCAGATATTTTGCCATGCACACACATGCCCCATCTCCTCTTGCTCTAGACAATCAACACTGCTTCTGAAAATGGCATGACAATAGACTGTTGTATGATGGCACTCATGATTCCTGTGACTCTCTTGAGACAAAAACTCACTTTCCATATGTGTTGTCTTTCTCTATTAGAATATAAATGTCTTGAGAAACGGATTGCCTTTTGTCATTTTTGGCAAATACGGTATAATCGAAGAAGCAAGCCCCAGGTAAGTGGTGTGAGGTGTCAAGGGTATTGGAAGATGGCTAAGAATCAAGAGAGATTTGTTTACCTCTGAGATGGAAAAAAAAATTAAGAGTAGGAGGAGAAATGGACTATGTAGAAGCAGATAGAAAAGAAAAAAGATGGGGAAGTTCACATCTGATGACCTCAGTTTTCTCTGTAAGTACAAAGAGAGGTCATCTGCCAAGAGGCAGACAGCTATGGAGAGAAAAGAGATTGTTCTTAAACAAACAGAAGAGATCGTTAGCAATGAAATCAATGAGTTTGATTATATAAAAAAAATTTAAATGCACATAACCCAAATGCATTATCTCTAAAATGAAAAAAAAATATGTTGGAGGGAAAGTGTTTACAGTAAATATATCAGATGATAACAATAAAGAGCCTCAGTTTCCTCATCCATTAATTGGGGGCATTAATACTTAACTGGTGTAGCATAACCTACTTCACAAGATTGTTGAGAAAAGTGTCTTGAAAACTTTATGGTAATACATATGACAAATACATATATTTCTATTCTGAACTTAGCAAACACTAAAATGGCCATTTACATAAACAAAATAATGATGATAAAAATATCTAATATTTACATAGTGCTTACTATATGCCAGGCACTATAGTAAGCATTTTACAATTATTATCTCATTTGATCCTCACAACAACCTGGTAGGTAGATGCTATTATTATCCTCATTTTGCAAGGGAGGAAACTGACGCAAACAGAGTTCCCCAGAGTCACACAGCTTGCAAGTGTCTGAGGCCAGATTTGAACTCAGGTGTTTCTGATTTCAGACCTGGCACTCTATCCACTGTACCACTTAACTAGAACAGAAAAAAAGAGTACATGAAACAGCTAACCTCTAATATATTCAATTTGCTTTTCCTTAAAGTAGTATACAAGTGAGAATTATTAGCATAATGCTGAAGAATAGAAGCATTGCTAACTCTGGGTCACAGCTGTCCCACTTCAGTTGCTAGCAGGTTGGTGCCAAATTATAGCAAGAATGATGGAGATACATTTCTTTCATTCTTTAATTCAATAAATATTTAGTAAGCATCTCGAAGAAAGCATGAAGTAGAGTCAGACAGCTGATTAGCTAGAAACAGGATGTTGGGAATGCTAGATTCCTGAATGCAAGAGTTTATAATTTATTCAATAGGGAATGGGGATACCCAGGAGGTTTTTGAATAAAAGTGACATAATGTAGTACTTTAGGAATATTCCTCAGGCAGCAATAGAAGGATGGATTGGAGGTGAAATGAAGGCAAAAAGACCAGTTAGGAGGCTCTTAACAAAATCCAAGCCAGAAGGGATAAGGATCTGAAAAGAGCAGTGGGAATAAAAGGGGAAGGGAGTTACATGCTCCACGACATAATGGAGGCAATATGTTACAGTGAAAGTTAGAAGTCCTGAGCTCAAGCCCTAATGTTGCTACTTCCTATCTGTATGTATGGTCGACCTTGGGCAAGTAACTTCATTCAGTTTAAAACAATACAGGCACATTATTCTTTCATCATAGATTTGATTATTAATCAAAAGTAGGGTTCGAAGGGTCATAGCAAGAATCTTTCCAGATGGGACATGTTGAAAGCTAAATTTGCAAATTTCTACTAATTTTTATCACTTCTTACAGCAATTGTTTCTACTTTGTGTCCGTTTAGAAACATAGATAGTAAAAGTATCCCTATCATTGTGACCATTCCAGTAACAAGAGTTTTTCCCAGTTGCTAACATATTATACTGGTATGCACATAAATAAACCAATCCTCTGCCTGCCCAGTCTGTCAAGAAGGTAGGTGTTATTCTGGCAAGACTCTAGGACACAGGAAAACATTTTTCCCAAGGGCTTGTCTCCATTATGCTGTTTTCTTATGTGATTATGAATCAGAGTGCTAGTGCATAGAAGTTAGGAAGGTATTTCATGAGAATTTAGAAAAAGCATTAAAATGACAAAACATTAGCCTTACCTTAGAAACCTTCAGAACTTTAGCTCTCACTAAATACTGAAAGTGGTAATGATGGCACCAAGCAGACTCAGAATCATAAATGAACCCATCCTTCTCCTAAAACATTCATGAGAAGTAAATTTTAAATAGCACGAAGTATAAAATTCCCCCACAAAATCACTTCTGAATTAGAGGGCCTTCCCCATCACCACCATCCCTATGTCCATTTCCAAATCAGGAAACTTGAGTGGGTGTGGTGGGAAGAGCCCTAGACTTCAGAGGTCGGGGCCTTGGGTTCCAATCCTCGATCCTACCTAGTTTAGGCGAGTCACTGACAATGATGGGATTGGACTATGTGATTCTCAATCTCTATGATAGTGTTGGATAAAATGCTTCCACAGACATCAGCGCTGAATTCATCGGACTGCTCTGGAGGCTCTTTTGCTTTGTCTTTGCTATTGTAAACATTTCTCAGGCTAAAACTCCCGGCAAGCTGGGTCTCAAGGTTGGCCATAGCAGGCGGCCTCCTCCATCCAATTCCTTGCTTCCCAGCTAGCTAGTTCCCAAAAGCAGCGTCCCTCCACCCCACCGCCCTTCCAAACCCGCCCCTGGGCGGGCGCGGCTGCGCGGAACCTTACCCGCAAGAGCACAGGTCGCAAATGCATTTTTTCACGGGCTGAGGCATCTTTAGCTGCTGATGCTATGGATGCTGCTGGCTAGGTAGTGCATACCCCGCACTTCTTCGCTTCCAACCTTTTTAGGAGCCCCAGGAGGGCTTGTTTCACTCACAACCAACCTCAAAATTTTTGAGGGGCTTTTCGTCCCTTAATATTTTCAACAACAAAAAAAAACTTTTTATTTGCAGTTCTTTGTCGGGTTTTCGTCAATCAGGTAGACTTTTCTCTATAAACAGAGGCCGGATGGCTCAACCCAGGCTTCTTGATCCTTATTGCCGCTTCGCTTTTTGTCGTAGGACGCCGGTGCCTACCCACACAAGCCCACCGCTGCCTCTCAGCACCGCCCCAAGCCGCCGAGATGCGCCCGGCGCTCCTGCACGTGCCTGTTTTCCCAAAGCACGCTCGCGGGGTTTTCCCGTGACGTCCCACGCAGGGCCTACTGTGACGTCCCCATGTTCATGGGTGGACTCCTGTAAGCTTTTGTGATCCCAGCGCGGGCCCTTGTGACGTCACGGATTCGCGCGCGACCCCCCCCCCGTATCTGTGTTACCAGCTACGGTTCCCTAAGTTCAAGGACAGCCAATTCTACTGAACCTCTGTACCTTTAAGTTTAGGAGGACTCTAGAAGAAAACTGAAAAACAAGAAAACGTAGACCTTTGGAATGGGAGGAAAGAGGAGTGAAATTAGGTGAGCCAAAAAAAAAAAAGCCAGCAATTAATATGGAAATGTTTTGCATACTTTCCATGTATAATCAGTATCAAATTGATTGCCTTCTCAAGGAGCAGAGGGGGACAGGATGGAGGGAATTTGGAACTCAAAAAAAAATCATTTTTTAAATGAATGCTAATACATTCTTACATATAAGTGGGAAATATTTAACAAGATATGTATATATTTTTAAAGCCATCGATCTTTTTGAGTTCTGTAGTCTATATGAGCAATCCATTTTCTTAATACAAGCATCACCAGGCCCCCACACCTTAAATTATATTTATGCAAATTAATAGGTTAAACAAACTATTGCTATTGAATTGAGGGAAAAGGCTAAAAGGTGATACAAATATGATAGGATTATAAACCTCGGAGTTGGAAGGGAAGTAAAACCTTGACCTTTCTAAATTAGGTCTTTCCCAGGCCTGTTAGTCTGAAGCAATGCCCATTCAGTGACTAAGGGCTAGGTAAGAATTGAGATAAAAGATGGCCAAATTTACCATCACAAAACTATCAATTTAGGGGAAAACACTTAGAATTTCTGGACAGAAAAAAGAACAATTGCTATTTATACTCATTCTAAGTAGACATTAAAACTGAAAAAACAAATGAGCCACAAAGGCTTGGGTTCAGGGCTTCACTGGCCACTCAATGAAAACCAGAGTGATTTGGGTTTAAAATCTTCAAGTAGCTCCATTTGAAGAACGGGCATTTTTTTTTTTAGTAGTGAGGCAATTGGGGTTAAGTGACTTGCCCAAAGTGAGTATTATGTGTCCGAGACCATATCTGAACTCAGATCCTCCTGACTCCAGGACCGGTGCTCTATCCACTGTGCAACCTAGCTGCCCCAAGACAATGGGCTTTTTTAAAAGTCTTTTTCCAGAGCTATGTTTCAAGATATCATAAATGAAAACTGCATAGGACAAAAAGTAAATTGTCCTAGCTTTTTGAAAAAGAAAATAATAAAATAGAAATAAAAATAAAAAATCTAGGCCCCAAGCCCCAAAATATCTTATAAAATACAAGCCACCAAAAATTCTATTCCTATAGACACAGCACCCACATGTAAGGTGGACCACATTTAGTGAGGGCACAGAAAGTAGAAAAGAGAGAAGAAATAGCAGCATTCCCCAACTTCTGCTTAAATTGGTAGGTCGGGTCCAGGAAAGGGTTTATAATGGAAAATGTTGGTGCTATAAAAACAATTTTTTTTAAATAAAAAGAATGAAGAAACTTTTCAAGAACAGGGTTGTCATATCTAAATGGTAGCTATTAACAAGTTTCTATACAATCTTCCATAATAAGCTAAATTAACTAAATTAACTTCTATGATGAACTAAATTAACTTATCAAAATACAAGTAATACAGAATAGGGGATGCAGCATCCAAGCCAAGAAGACAAGGGTTCAAGTCTTGCCTATGTCACATACTGGCTGTGCAACTGGTCAAATAACTACCCTCTAGAACTCTTACTTCAGTAAGCTTACAGAGAAGAGCTGTTAGACTGTACCAGGGAATTCCCTATACCAATTCAATCACCAATTCAATCACTATAAACATCAAGTGGATTAGATCTGTGGTTATGCACAATCTGTGGATGTGTACATCCACTGCAAAATAATAAATTCCATAGTCCACTGTCTAACATTCAAGTCCTTTCAAACACTCCGACCTGTTTGTCCTGTACACAGAACACAGTTCTAACCAAACTTACTCCCACCTTTCTTCCTAACATGTACCATCCCCACACTTGGAATTCGTGGCTGTACCACACCCCTACTCAAGCACCTGAAAGAATTCCCAGCTTTTTAAGCCTGTTTCCCTATGAAGCTTTTCCTGATTTCCTCAACTGCGATCTCTACTTCTCACATCATTTGCACCTGGTCTACTTTTTATGTTAAGTCTATTCTGTACTCATCTCTCCTACCAGTAAGAAAGTTACTGGACACTGGGGCTACTTCAGATGTGTACTGCTATGCACATCACCTTGGATTCAGCAAACTCTTCTGTGTCTCTTCCAACAGTGAATCCCACACATCCCTCTTGCATAAAACCTTCCCATGAGGTCAATAACAACTTTCTTGCTTGGACCTCAGAGTTCACCAATGTTAAGTAATACTGTGTCTTCTACTACATTTGTTAGCTTTATGAGGGTAGAAATTATCACATCTAAACTTTCAATCTTCAACACCTTTTTTTTTAAAGTCCAAATTTGATTTCATAGGTAATTCCTGGTGTGGAAACTCCTTCCAATGATGCAAATCACCACTCAGCAATAGCACTGCAGCTTCTAGTCTTGAGAGACTTGCCTAGAACATGAGATTGTGACCTGCCCATGTTTACACAGCTTGTGTGTGCCAGAGGCAGAACTTAAACCCAGGTTTTCCTCACTCTAAGGCCAATTCTATCCACCATGTCATGTATTTCTCACTGAGCACAGTAGATGTTTAAATGGCTGTTGGGTTTAAGCCAGATATTACATACATACAATACTCCTTCCCTCCATCTAAGTAAACACACTTCCTCATTTTCCAGTTTTTACCAAGTTCCTGCAGCCAGTAAGAAAGCTGGTAAGATTTGTTTTCCTTGGCAATGTGGCTACAGCTTACATTTAAGTGTTAATTCAGTTTAATCACAATTGCCATATAATCAGTAGAAAAACAATGTTGAGTGCATTATGTCTCCTTAGGATAGTTTTTGACACAATAACTATAATTCCCAAGCCTTTCTGGAGTTATAAACACCCTACTACTTAATTTATAAACTCTACCTCTCCTCAATTTATTTTGTGCATTAAGTTTAACTTAATTATGAATTTATACTGAAAAACTATACTATCCATTAAAATAATGGGATACTGTAAACCCAACCTGAGTTAACAATGGCATCACCATGTACTCGATACAAAATGATTATTCTGGCTAAATATGCACAATTTTTACTAAAGTGAAAAGGGCTCAAAGTAACTAAAATACTAACTCCAAATACTACATATTTTGTCTTTTCAGATCTTTCTAACACAATATTCTATGTCTACATTTTCCAATTTTTTGTGAATACTAACTTCCATTTCATGTCTGGGGAACTTTCATGGTATAAATGCAACCAACCAGAGGAACAGTGAATATTATTCAATTTATTTACATTTTTATGCTGAAATACAAAACTACAAAAATAAATAATCCCAGTCTAAATTAGACCAAATAAGTCCATTACCCAGTTAAACCCACTGAGTAGATTTCTAGTTCTTGGTCGTCTTTCCTATTATCTCTTCTCATCATTTTCCTTCTGTTATTCTGTCATTTTCTCATTTGGATATCCTCTTCCCTACCTTTTTTCATATGCTCATTCTTCATTCCACCTAACTTCATCTCTGTAAGCTGCCATTACCGCTTTGGGAAAGCAAATTTAAGGCTTACCACTATCTGGTTCTTACTTTTTCTCCAATCATGCTCTAAGTCATCTACTATTTTCAAATATTTTTGTTAGTGATTTTAATATATTCTTAAGTAACACTGAAGGCTAACACAAGTGCTATTTCCTTAGGATAAAAGTACAGTATTTCTAAGTGGCCTTCTTATGCTATTTATCCTTTAAAGTCAATCAAGCTACTATCTATGCCAACAGGTTACTTAACTTTGGAAAGCTCATTCATTACAAATTGATCATTGATGGTATCAAAATGTCTTCTGGTAACCTGGAACAAATCACTTCACCCCTCTGGGCCTCAATTTCCTTATCTATAAAATGAGACTGAACTAAATGACCTCTAAAGTCTTTTCAAGGTCTAACATTCTGTGCATTCTGTATTTTGTTTTTAACTTCCATTTTTTACAAATGGGTAAAAAGCTACACATTTTTTCATTCAAAAAGACTAAAGACTTCACTAACTGGATACTGTATATGTCTCTTGCCCTAAAAGATTGGGGTGCTGTTACCCAGAGTGTTTTTTTTTCCTATCTGCAAGAGTAAGGCTTCCCAAAAATATTTAGATTACAAATCAGTTTTTTATTCTATAATGAATCTTCAATTTAAATCCATCATAATTCAATTAATTGTGCAACTGCTCCATCTTCTTCAGCCTTTAAATTAGATGAGGATTTGAGCCTTTTATCCAAGTTTTCTTCTTCTGTGAAAATAAATAAAAGTAAACATTACAAAGTCAATACAAAACAAAAATCACATTCCAAGTAATAGCAACATTTAGAATCCACATGATAAAATTGTGCTTCCACTTCTAAAAATATTTGCCTACCAATAAATGTATGTTAACTCTTTCCTACTGCAACACTTTTCCCAAGGGCAGACAGTACTAACCCTAAATTAATTAATTATCCAATGTTGCCTCAGACAACCTGAGACCTGGGAAAGACCTAATTTAGAAAGTCCAAAGTCACCCATTGTATCCCTGGACCACCATCAATCATCTTAATTTTTGTCTTGCTACTGGACTTCATGATTCTAGAGGACAGAATGAGACTGATAACTTTGCACAGCTCTGCCTCACTTAAATCCAGTTCACAAGCAAGTCAAAGCATCACCCTTGTGATGTCATTGTTCCTCTTTAAAAACAGACAAACAAAACATACAAACAGACCCCAACTTATCTTTCCAACCTCATTATGTTCCACCTCCTTCAATGATCCAATCAAACATGCCTTCCCTGTTCCTCACACATGACATTCTATCTCCTTGCATGAGCCATCTGTGCCTGAAAATCACTTCCACCTCCTAGAATCCTACTCTTTCTTCAAGAAAAGCTCAAGCACTATCTTCTACGTGAAGTCCTTCCTGATTCCCCCAACTACTAGTGCCCTCCCCTTTATCTTTGTTGTTGTTATTCTGTAGACAGTAATATACATACTTGTCTCTTTCATTAAGTCTACTACCTGAAGTCTGCTACCATGAAGTCCACTACCTGAACTTCAGTATTATTTTCATTGTTTTTTAATTATATACATACACACGTAAAGACTAGGTTTTGGGCCAATCACAGTCTTGTCCCATTCTTGAGAGGCACAGAAACTAACCTGCTTACCTTTTCACCCTAAGAAACCTGATGCCACTTCCCTCACCTCGCCAGGAACTTGCCTTACAACTGCCAGACTTAGCGCAGACATCAGATCCATTTAGCCCACTGTAGCTCAAAATTCCTGATCTCAAGCTTCAGCTTCCATAGTAGCTGAGACCACAAGCAGGCATCAACACACCCACTAAGTCCTTGTTTTTGTATCCCCAGCACCTAGCTCACTCTACGGCACATAAGCTTTTTAATACTTTTTAACTGAATGATGTGACAATCCTACAACTCAAATTTTACCCAACTCATTCATTTCCTCCCTTCTTCCCATAAATAACAGCAACCAAGTCAGTGTCACATGACTGCACTCCACTAGGAAATGATATTCTAAACATTAGCAACTCACATTTACATATCGTTTTTAAGGTTTACAATGCACTCTGCCCATTTTAAAGTGATTCTACAAAGTTTTGGAGATAAAGTGATTTGCCAAAAGTTACATAGCTAATATAATGAGAATTGCAATGTGAAGGGCCTTGTGACTCCCAAGTCCTGTGCCCTTTTCTACTCATGTACCTTCCCTCTCCTCTGCCTTCCTTCTAACCACAACAAAGCTCCAAATTATCCTATACATGAAATAATTGCTTCCATATACTAATGAAGAACTAGCTCTTCTGGAGCAGAAAATCCAGTGGCTCTAAAACAGTCATAAAAATAAACACTGACGTCTGAGGCCTAAAGAAAATCAGGTAACCTAATAAAATTTCAAGTTCAATCTTTTTTTCCTACATTTTTAACAATACTGAGAGGAAATTATTTTTTACAACAAAATGCTCATTCTCTCTCAGCCTTGCTTTACAGGAAACAGCAGGAGGTGAAGGGATAGTTGGAAGACATGAGCTAATAGTCCCTGTAAACATGAAAGTGGCCATCAATATCTAATGTTCAAATGTAATCTGATACAGAATAATGATTTCTGAAAACTACTTGCTAAATGCTTGATCTACAAAACTCTCATCTTTCTTCCTGGACACAGAGTTTCTTTGAAATTTGAATATATAGCTTTTAGTCTCATTTATTTAGAACTTCCTAATATACTCCAGGGAAATATGCTCTTGAGGTGAGTCATCTGTCAAACTGAATACAGTAATCAGAGAAAGGAGTAGTTAGTAGGGTTTACCACTGTTTACACTTATTTTAATAAAAACAGCAGGCTAATTAAAATCTTACCCTTTAAATAAGGTAAAAATTCTCCAATATTATTTGGCTTGGTGGACCTTCGTCTCTGTTCCTCTGGAGAAAATTTAATGAGTGGTGAAAGAGATTTTCTTTCACCAAAAGATATTCGTGAAGATGGTTTTATGTTGTCTATGTAGACAGCAGGAAAATCTCCCAGAGAATTAAACATGTCATCTGTTTCCATGTTATTTGAAGTACAGCCCAATTTTGAATCATCTTTTATAAATGTTTCAGGAGAAAAGTGAGAAGACTCTTTTTTTTTCTCAGACATAGACTTTTTAAGAGCTTCAAATCTACTGCAAATAGCCTCAAAACTCAAGTTTCTTTCTTCAGTAGTCAATTTTTTTCTCATTGATTCTTCTATTAAGATATCATTATCCATTGAATTTTTCTGCCCTGTTTCATCACTGGACTCTGGGCTATAGGAGCTATTAAAACTCAAGTTATCCGCTACCTCTGGAAGGGTTTCGTGCAATATATCAAAGTGGACAGCCTCTCTATTAGAATTAATTTCATTTAGGATCTCAGAATTCCACAATAAAGTTGTATGCACCCAAGACTGTTCTTTACAAGACGCAGATGAGAAGTCCAGTTTTTTATTAACTTGTTCTTCTTTACCATCTATTCCACTTGTCTTGTTCTCTGTAGCAGATAAACTTGACCCTGTATGGCTACTTTCTTCAAGGTCTACTTGTAAAACTGCACATTCTGAGTTCTGTTCCCAGGTTCTTTTATTTGAAACTTTTGCACATTTGCTTGCTGGTGGGTCAAGGTGACTAGTTCCTATGCTCTCTTGAGGTCCAAGTTTCGGGGAACCTCTTTCGTCAGGCAAAAAAGATTTACTAAAAGCTGATCCCGAGAGAAAATTGTTTATGCTTGAATGTGTTTGGTCACTGGACACAGCATCCATTTGAACCACCTCTATATCTCGATCAACTTCATCTTGAAAATCTCTTTGGGAGTTTCTAATTTCAGGAGCTGATAAAAACAAATACAAAATGGAATTATTTCTCTCTGTCTCTCTCAATTTATATAGATAGGTAGGTAGGTAGATATAGATAGACAGATGGATACAGATTATACATACATATATATTATATATATGTGTATATATATATATTATATATATATATAAAAATTTTAGTTTTAGCAATGCAAACTTTGATTCAACACAAAATAGATGGTGCTGTTTTAGAATATAGTGCTAACCTTTATGATGGTTCTTCCTATTGGTTTTAATTTTTACTTACAACTTCACTAATGTGAAAATATGTTTAATGGGTATGTAAATGTAAAGCCTATGTCAGACTGTGTGCCGTCCTGGGGAGGGTGGGGGGGAGAAAAAGGGAGAAAAATTTTCAACTCAAAAGCATATGGAAAAAAAAATTTTAAAAAATAAATAAAAATTAGAATATAGTGCTAAAAGAAAAAATCCAAATAAATCACAGAACTGCTGAACTTGCCACCCTGCCCCAACAAACTCCAATTTAATCAGAGAATAAGAATGGGCAAGGACATACCTGGCCCTTAGACACTTCTGATTAATATCTAATAACTGAAGTATGTGCCATATTGTCAGTGATTTTGTGGAGGTGATTCCTGAACTGGGAGGAATACTGGATTAAAATCATTTCTAATGTCCCTCCTGACTCTTATTCTATGGCTCTTTCTAGGCTCAGACTAAAATGAGCTATTATACAGCTTAGAAATTTATTATTGACAGAAAGAAATAAAGGGCTATGGAGTCATAGATATGGAGACATATCCAAGCTAACAAAAACATCGGAGTACTTATTTCACCATACTAAGTATATGTATGCTAAAATCAACATGTTGTTTGGAGGCAGTGTATTCAGTAGGCCTTAGAAGACAGTCCGCTGCAATTTCACTCTAACCAGAAATAGTTATAGTGTTTATATTATGTTTGTCATACTAAGCAAGTCTTAAAAGTCTTAAAAACTAACGTCTATGAAATAAAACAACAGATCAGAAGCATAAATTGAGCTTACTCAAATCTTCTGGCGTTCGTGGAATCTGCTTCTTTGTCAAAAATGGGTTAGAAAATAGACAGTTGATTAAGTCACCTAATTCTTTGTCTCTTTCTTTACAAAGCTGTGGTGAATCTGCTACAACAGCTTTGGCAACCTAGAAAAAAAAAAGTAAAAACATTAAACCTAATTGACTTGTCATGTGTGAGATTAGCAAGATGTCAAGAACGCCCAATATTATACCTCAGACAGCTCCTTTAAGAATAATTATGGAACAATGCATATGGGAGCACACAATCACATCTAAGCACTCCCCAATCAATAGAATGCAAGTGAGGTGGGAAAAAAAATCTCTTCTCCTATACTAGAAGAATAGGATCCATTCCGCAGAGAATAGGAGTCAATCAATAAGCATTTATTAAACACTAATTAAGCCTCAGACACTGTGCTAAGCACTAGGAATAAAGGATAATAGTGCTTGGACCTGTGATTTCATTGGTAAAGGGAACTAACACACGATAAAAACTACTAAAGCAGGAAGGCACCAGAAACGCAAAAACAAAAATTAAATAATCCCAGGAAAGTTACCATATAGGCTCAGCCCTAAGAGAACAATGGAATAGGTGGTGAGGTTTCTATCAATTATAAAAATCTTTTATACACAAATAGCTATTTGGAAAAAATTTCACTGATAATCTGTCAGGTACAGGCATACACCCCCTCCTAATAAACAGAATGATTATCAATACCATATACAACACATGAGAAATTTTATTACTAAAGGCAGAAAAAAATATGGGGCATAGGGATGTATTTTAAGAAACAAAAAAAAGATGATAGGTAATTATTTCATATTAACTAAAATGTCAAATGTGCTAGAAAATAGGAAACAAAACATCTATGAGTCTTTGAATCAAAAGAAGGCAAAGGGTTAAGTTTAGGAAAGAAAGAGTAGGTAAAGCCTTAGATGAGATTTATGCAAGAGAAAAATAGTTCTAAGTCACAGAAATCTAACTAGGAAGGCATATTCCCCCTAGAAGCCCTTAAGAAAAGGTGTCCAGCAGGTATGGCAAGACCAGCCCCAGTACATATTTCAACACAGCAACAAATAAAATGAGGATAACAGAAGATCACAGAACCTTTGACCACCTTCCATGTAGCAGAAGTTCTGTTCAATTTATTCCTTCTCTTATTTTCATAATTCCTTTTTCTGAAAATAAGCACTCTCTGCACTTGCCATTCTCCTTTCCTGCACTCTCACAAAAAGAGGTGTCCCCTTTCTTTACTCCAAGGCCTTCAATGAAGTCCTAGCTCCCATCCTCTCCCCCAAATCCCAAAAGACCTTGGTTTCCAGGAGTTTCCTTTCCCTCTTCTGTACATTCTAACTTCCTTCCAAATGAATTAGTACCATCTGCTTCAAATCTGCACAAATCTTTCCTATTTAAAAAAAATTATGCTCTATCTTTCATTCTGTTTTCTCTTTTCGTTGCCAAAATTCTTAAGTGAGTAATCTCTCTTTGCTACCTAAATTTATTTAATATCCATTCTCTTTTTAACAATCTAAACTATAGTTTATATCCTTGCCACTCTGCTAAAACTGTTCTTTCCAAGGTTATGACCACAATTTCAAATCCAAGGAATTTTTCTCTGTTATAATTTTTCCAGACCTCTCGGTAGCATGTGATACTACTGACCACCTCCCAACTCCTCCTTTCTCTAATTCTGGCTTCCACGAAGCTACATTATTTCACCCTACTTGTGTCCCATCCTCCATATATCTTTGCACATGTGATGACCCAAAAGTCTTTTTCCAGCTTTTAAGTCTATTATAAACACAAAATAACAAGAATTTATTAACTGCCTACTACACACCAGGCACTGTTAGGTACTAAAGATGCAAAGACAAAACAAAAACAAAACAAAAAATCCCTGCCATCAAGAAACTTACATTCCATTATAGGAAAGGGGAGAGAAGCAATATATTTACAAAGTAGAAACAAACTGACTGTGGAGGACAATGGAGGTAAAGACAGGAGAAGAAATCAGAATAAGCTTCCTATAGAAGGAAGCACCCAAGCTAAGTCTTGAAGGAAGCCAAGAATTTCATGAGGTGGAGGTAAAAATGGAGTCATAGCTACAAGAATGACCCATGAACAGCTGGAAGAAAGGTAGCTATGGCAAATGGAATGTCCTGAATAAGGAACAGCAAGTAGGCCAATTTGACTGAAGGGTGTGTGTGAAAAAGAATAATGCATATAAACTTGGAAAGGTAGGCAAAAGGCAGAATAATCTTTAAACACTAAAAAGAGAAGTTAGTATTTTAAACTAAAGGAGAGTACCCATCAGAGCTTCTTGAAGCAGGTGACTACTATGGTTAGACCTATGCTTTAAGAAAATCTATTTGGAAAATGATTGGAGACAGTAAAGACTGGCTACAAGGAGATCAATTAGGAGGCTACTGCAATAGTCTGGGCAAGAAGTAACAATGACCTGAACCTGGGTAGTACAAATGCAGCGAATAAATGTGTTGTGTAGGTAAAATCAGCAAAATGTCAAAAATGATTGAATATGAGGGATTGAGGGAAAAAGAGATAAAGTTGACTCTGAGGTTATAAGCCTAGATCACTGGAAGACTGGTGGTGCCCAAGATGACAATAAAAAAAAAAATGGCTGTAAAGACTGCAAAAGACAAGTACATTGCTGACAGAGCTGTGAACTGACCCAATCATTCTGGAAAGCCATTTGGTTTCTATACCCAAAAAGTCACTAAATTTTGCTAATCTTTATACCTACAACTTCCCTACTAGATATACATACCCCAAATATGTCAGACAGAAGGAAAGGACAAACATAAAACATATTTGTAGCAGCACTTTTTGTTGTAACAAAGAACTAGATACAAAATCAACTGTTGAATGACTAAATAAATAATGGTATGTTCACGTAACAGAATATTATCGTACTATAAGAAATATGGAAAGAGGTAAGCTTCAAAGAAATCTAGGAAGACTCATGAAACGATGGAGAGTAAAGCAAGCAGAACTGAAAGTTCCCATTTTATGTACATTCGTCTTTTCCTACTTGAGAATGTTCACTGGAGGAGATGGTATGATCACGTGAAGGTTTGTTTTTGTTTTTTTTTTTAAGGATGGAACAGTTCTATCCACTAGAGAAGGAACTAGTGAATAAATGATTGATAATTAGGGACAGGGAAGGGACAACTGAAAAGGCAAACTCATGGGGGAGATGTGGGAATGAGATCAAGGACGAAGAGGATAGTGTTTACAAGAAAAGCCATAACTTCCTTCATGATTGAAGCAAAGGTGAGTGGGGAATGATACAGAGGTGATTTGACATGTAGTAGTAGGGAAAAGAGGGAGCTGGTGACAAATAGACCCAATTTTTTCAATTGTGAAGTAATATCCTCAGATGGGTATCACATTCCTCATCTTCATCACAGAATCCATCAAAGCACAGTTCAGGGACCAGCCTCCTTTATTAGCATTTTCTCCCTCCTGAAATTACTTTTTACACTTGGCACATATACTACCCATGTGCACAGGTTTATCTCCCACCTAAATGAATATTAGCTCCTATTTTAAATTAACTCCTAGCACAATGCCTAGAATAAAATAGGTGTTCCCAAGGGCTAGTGTAGTCACCAGAAGCATCGAGCAATGAAAGAAGAGGTCAACACAATCTATCCTGTAGAACCAGCAGGGATCATCAAAACCTACACTGCCACTGCTGGGACCTGTGCAGTGTGTTCTACTTGTTCTGCCAAGAAAGCAATCAATGCTTCCAAGACTCTCACAGATGACTTTCTCTAGCACCTTTCAACAAGTGAATGGACCTGTCCCTATCCCACTGTAAAAGTATCTGAGCAATTAATCAGAGAAGCTAGTCTTCCCTGGAGACACCCTGGGGGGGTGGGAGGGGTGGGGTTGGGGGGCCAGAAAATTTGAGAATGAGTGCTGAGAATGTTAAATACCTGATTCAATTTCATGTAATTATCTTGCTATTCTGTTTCATTACGTGCCTTTTGCACCGAATTCTTAAGTGGCTTAGGCTGGTATAAGGAAATATACTGGTGAGGCCTCAGCAATAGCAATCTGAATAAATACCCCATCAATACTGTGCAACTGAGTACAGATGAAGGCTCATCAAGAAGGCCTCAGGTTGCATGTATCTTTATTCTCTCAGGCAATAATTCTGCTTACTAAAGGATCATCGACATAAGTAAATGACCTGCATGGAAATAAAAATATATCTGGTGAATTTTCCAGTACATGAAATAAGATTTAATTAAGTATATCTAAAAAAAACCAGTTGAGAATATTTGCTCTTGATTTCTTCATTACTTCCTCTCCCTCTATTTCTTGTCATTTCAGTCACACCCTGGATTTTTTTTTAAATTAATCTGACTTTTGGATTTCATTCTTTTCTAGCCATGATTAGAGAACTCATTAAAGGAAAAAAATGTAAACAATGTAGGTGTTCAATAAAGGTTAAAGTGAATTGTCCATCTCCTTCACTGGCTATTCTCTTTATTCATAGGGGTAAAGGAATAAACATTTATATAACACCTACTATGTGCCAGGCACATAGCTTCTAAGCACTTCCAACAAATACTACCTCTCATTCGATCCTTATAACTCTGGGAGAGTAAATATAATGACCAAAAGTAAGACTTAATTAAAAAAAAAAGATCCTTTGGGTGTGACTGAAATTAAAGAAAATAAAGGAGAGAAATTAAGAGCAAATATTCTCAATCGTTTTTGTTTCTTAGGTAATACTAATGACCAACATTTCAAATCTATACCAAATTAAATTTTACTTCACATAATTAGAGTTGAGGAAACTAAGGGCAACAAGAGGTTAAGCAACTTGACCAGGGTCATACAGCTAGTAAGTGTCTGAGACCACATCTGAACTCAGATCTTCCTGATTCTAGGCCTAGAAATCTATTCAATGCCCTTCTCTCATTGTTAGCTACCTAATGAAAACTTCTGCTTGGATGCCTATCTACTGCATAAAACTAACTTAACTTTAATCCAAGGGGGTCCTTCTCCCAACCCATATTAACTAAAATAACGTAAAAAACATCAACACCACTAAAAGACATCAGAAATCAGATTAACTACAATGACCAATCTTGGCTTCAGGCTACTGATGTGTTTATGAAACATTTTTCTCATCTCTATAGAAAGGTGGTAGATTCCAAGTGTGAAATTTTGCATATGCTGTCACATTTTAGTCTCTGTATTAACCGGTTTTGATTAACTTTTTATTTGTTACAAGGCAGAGTTCTGAAACAGGAGTAGAAAGTGAGAAAAACTGTGGTATAAAAATTAAAAAGCATCATGACATTCTTTTTTTTTAAGAGGAAATTCAAACCCAGTAAAGTTAAGTGATTTACCCAAAGCCACAAAGGCAGTATAAGTAGGTCATACTGGGCTTCAAACACAGATCCTGACTCCGTAAGTACAGTATTTTCTCTACTACCCTGCCAGACATTAGTAAGTCCAATTCTGACTCTTCAAATCTTACCTATCCTTTAAGGCCAGATAAGTGCTACTTCTGACACCCATCCCAAGCACTCTAATCTACACGATCTTTCATCCTCTGAATTCCTACTGTATTTCTTTATACCACGTTTGAAAATCACTAAATGATACTATCATTTTAAAAGTTTAAGAGTATAAATCAGAAATGGTCAAAGGACATGAGCAGGCAGTTTTCAGAGGACAAAATTAAAGCTATTTATAGTCATGAAAAAATGCTCTAAATGACTATTGAATAGAGAAATACAAATCAAAACAACTCTGAGGTACCACATCACACCTATCAGATTGGCCAAGATGACAAAACAAGAAAATGATAAATGTTGGAGAAGATATGGGAAAACTGGAACACTAATGCATTGTTGGTGGAGTTGTGAACTAATCCAACCATTCTGGAGAGTAATTTGGAACTATGCCCAAACAGCTATAAAATTATGCATACCCTTTGACCCAACAATACCACTTCTTGGTCTGTATCCCAAAGAGATGACACAAATGGGAAAAAGGACCCACATGTACAAAAATATTTATAGCAGCTCTTTTTGTAGTGGCAAAGAATTGGAAATTGAGAGGATGCCCATCAACTGGGGAACGGCTGAACAAGTTGTGGTATATGAATGTAATGGAATACTATTGTGCTATAAGAAATGATGAACAGGCTGACTTCAGAAAAACCTGGAAAGACGTATGTCTGATGCTGAGTGAAATGAGAAGAACCAAGAGAACGTTGTACACGATAACAGCCACGTTTTTGCAGTAACTAATATTGATAAACATAACCCTTCCCAGCAATACAAGAATCCAAGACATCTCTCCAAAGGCCTCATGATGGAAAATGCTATCCACATCCAAAGAAAGAACTATGGAGTTTGAATGCAAATCGAAGCATACTATTTTTTTTCTTCTGTTAAGTTTTTTTCCTCTTTCTGGTGGTTCCTCCTATTGGTTCTAATTCTTACTTACAACATCACTAATGTGAAAATATGTTTAATAGGAATGTATATGTACAGCCTACATCAGATTGTGCGCCATCTTGGGGGGGAAGGGGGAGAAAAATTTTAAACTCAAAAGCATATGGAAGTGACTGTTGATAAATCAAAATAAATTAATTTTTAAAAAAATATGGAACTCAAAATCTTTATGGAAGTGAATGTTGAAAACTAAAAATAAAAAAAAAAGTATAACTCAGGTTTCTTGAAAGAGCAGATAAGCCACTCAAGAGAAGAGACTGTATCATACTTACATTAGCCAACAATACCTAGCATGGTACTATATATATTCAATAAATACTCATTTAACAAAGATTTCCCCTCACCTCCTCTGCCAGATGATCTACTTCTTTTTTGAAGGGATCAAGCACTGGTGTTGAAAGTACACAATTCTCTCTGTTCTTCTGAACTGACAGTGATTGAGATGTATCCATTTTGATCTGTTTTTTGTTTTTAGAAATTGGCTGCTCTTTATCTCTAAGAGTCTTCGTCTTCACATCCTAAAGGAGACAAAACATGACATGTTCAGAGTTTTACTCATTCTCCTCCCACTCCTTAATTGTGTTGGTGAATAGTTTAGTATTCATGTTTTTTCGTTAGACATACATCATTAACAAAGTAAAGTCAGTTTCTGTGTAAGTAAAGTAAAATTAACTGGTGTAGCAATTCCGTGCATTTTAAATTGGGGAGAAAAATGAGAACTGTGTTCATAGACTAATTATTCTAGACACTTATCAGGCTATATTAGCTTTTGGTTTTAAATAAATTAGATGACATATTATTTTCCTACCCATACATTTTGAATATGACAGACAGCCTCTTGAGCTTTGTTAACTAGTGCTACATCTTGGGGCAGCTAGGTGGCACAGTGGACAAAGCACTGGCCCTGGAGTAAGAAGAACCTGAGTTCAAATCCAGCCTCAGACACATGATACTCACTAGGTGTGTGACCCTGGGCAAGTCACTTAACCCCAAATGCCTCAGCAAAAAGCAAAAAAAAAGTCACTCATGATATTCTTATGAACTATATGGACATTTAAGTTGGATGGCAGCATTACTAGGAGGGTTTATAACTCATTAACACTAACTGATGGATACAAGGGGTTTGATCAGTGCAAAGTATCTAATGGAATCTGAGCTTTGTTCAAAGACCAATTCCACACTTTCATCAATGACTTGGATGAATGTATACATGGCAAACTGATCAAATATGAGGATAAGACCAAGCTAAAAAGACCGATATGAAGAATGACAGAAAGCACCCAAAAATATCTCAGTAGGATATAATGGTTTAGCTGAAACCTGGATTGAAAAAAAAAAACAAAAAAACAGAAAAGTCCAAGATGAGAGAGGGATGTGTAGAAAACAGTCAGGCCTGGTAAATTATATACTTAAAAGGATTCAGTAATATAACGTTCTAGCCAAAAGAGGTAATGTACATAGTGGGCACTTAATAAATGTTTACTGATTAATCTGTGTAAGACAGGTTTAATGTCCACAACAAAGATGTACAATGCACCAGTGCCTGATACATAATAAGAACTTAATGAATGCTTATTGACTGACTAGCTGGTCTGACAAGTAGAATATTATGCCCAGTTCTGGGTACTGCATTTTAAAAGGGTCACTGATAAAACATGCCCAAGAGGATAACTAGGATGTCCCATACAAGGATCAGTTGAAGGAACTGAGAGTGTGCAGCTTAAACAAAAAGGGTGCTTCAGTAAGACGTGATAGTCTTCAAAATAACTGAAGAGGAATTAGATTCGTCTTTGGGACAACATAAGGAAATATACTTCTTAGCAATAAGATCTAGTCATAAAATTGAATGGGCTGCTTTGTGAAGTAATGAGAGTTCTCCATTACCAAAAAGCATTCAAGCAGAGGCTGGATAACCAGCTTGTCTAGAATACTGTAGAGCAGATTCATATTTGGGTAGAGGTTGGCCTAGATGACCACTGAAGTTCCGTGCAAAACTGAAGATTTTATGAAAATATTGTGTTTAAGTCAAAATTGTTTTAAAATGTACCTTTTCAAGTAACATAACACTGCTACTCTCAGACACTGTATCTGATGGCACTGGAAGAACAGCAACCCTAAAAGAGGAAACAATACCAACTGTCCATTAGAAAGTAGAAAAGTTCTACTTACATTTTATTCAATTGTATATTTTAAAGAATATATTTGCCCCGTATCTGTCCGTTACGATTTCTCTCAATTCGTCCCGGTCATCAAAAGGCAGTTTTATCTTGGGACAGCTTGTGACAACTAGAGCAATAATTCCGCTCTACCTGTGTATCAGCCTCCCAGAATACAACTTTGTCTACTGTACTGTTTAGATTTTGTTTTTCATTTGGAACAAAGACCATTTGAAACAAAGAATAACAACAAATACTTGTCTGCAACAAAGCTCTCTAATTCTTTACTGTTGTCAGTCAGGCTGGTGCCTTATCTTTCCCCAAAGCTCTAAACATGGATATTCTCCTAACATTTTAGCCTTGGATCTTTTCCTCCCTTAATGATATCATTCATCCTCATGACTTCAGTTATCTTATGCAGATGACCTCTAAAATCATCTAATCTCTCTCTAGTCTCAGTCTTATAATTCAAACTAATGGATGTCCTATCTGGATAACCCATAAGGACCTCAAACTCATTATGCCCAAAACTGAACCTCTCCATCCCTATCTTCACCTGAAAGTCTATTCATCCTCCTCTAACGTCTCTTCTGCTGTCATCATATCACTGATTCACAGATTTACAGCAGGAGGGGAGGGACAACAGAAGTCATCTATTCATTCTACATTAGAGAAAACTGAAGGCCAAAAAACCAACACTAATAATAAAGTGACTTCTCCAAAGCCACACAGGTAATACAGCCAGGATTTGAACATAGTACTCTACTACATCAATGGTCTATCAAGCTTGAAACCTGTTTTCTTTGACTCTTTCCTCATCCCCATCCATCACATCCAATCAGCTGTCAATTCCTAATAACACTATCTTCACAAACTCTCTCATATATATTATGGAAAAGGGAACAATGGCTCACCCTTCTACTGCCACTAAAACTACCCTATTTCAAGCCCTCATCAACTCCTGGTTAGATTATTTTTAACAGCCTAATTCTCTGCTTCCAGTCTTTTCATGCTCTAATTCATCCTTCAAAATGCTACCCACAAAATCTTACTAATATGCTGTATTCATGATGGCACTCCTCTATTTAAAAACCTTCAGTGGTCAGCCATAATTCATGAAATAAAAGTTTAAATAGCTTTATCCTAGTATTCACAGTCAGCCACAATTTGAGCCTCACTTTCTGGCAAACTGGACTACTCACTGTCCTTTATTATCATCCTGCCCTCCTCTACCTCTACTATTTGTTCATGCTGCTGTATACTACTGGAATATTCAGGCTCTTTTGGTCCTAAGTTCCAATTAAAAAGCTCTATTTTCTTTAAGGCCCAACTCATATCATAAGCTTTCTATGAAGCCTCTCTTGAGCATTTTATTTCAAAGTTATTTCTTCCTCCTCAAATTCTTCATGTCTGGACTTCTGCACTTATCACATTCTGCAAAAAGCATGGGGTTTTTTGTATATTAGAGTACAAATTTCTAAAAGGCAGAGTTTTATTTCAACTTCATATCTCAAATGCTTAGCAAAATTTCATTTACTTCATTAACCTGTAAGCTCAAAGTACGTACTCCCCTCTGATGATAAAGATTACAACCCACCCACATCTTCTCATCCTGTGCAACTCTTGTTCACTGTATTCCTTAATCTCTTCAAAGGGGTCTGCCCAATATGTTGGGATCCACCTTCTAGATTTCTTGATACTGCTTAGATACCAATGAAACCCAATGGTTACTCTTCATTCTTGCTAGATGAATGGCCTACCTCTTTTCTGTTAACCAACTGCTCTACTGGAATCCTTTATGCTACTACTCCTGTATAGTAATTCACTGCAATACACTCCTGGTTACTGTGTCCCTCTCCATTGCCCTTTGGGTCACCTTCAACTTTAATTTGTCAGAGAATGGGATATGTCATAATTCAGTCACACAGTATCAGTGCATGAATACTAACCATAAAAAAAGATGGGCCCGGGGCAGCTAGGTGGCGGAGTAGATAGAGCACCAGCCCTGGAGTCAGGAGGACCTGAGTTCAAATCTGGGCTCAGACACATGATACTCACTAGCTGTGTGACCCTGGGCAAGTCACTTAACCCCAACTGCTTCACCAAAAAAGAAAAAGAAAAAGATGGGCCTTGCTATTGGTCTTAGAACCAGATTTTCAAATTCCACTTTACCATGAGAGCAAGATGAAGTAAGAAACAAAAGCACAGGTTAAAAGCACAAGAGAAAGATGAGGAGGAGGTAATAATAGTCAACATTTGTAAAGTGCTTTAATGTTTCCAAATTACTCTGTTACATCATTTGGTCCTTACAAGGCAAGTACTATTATTATCCACTTTTATAATGAGAAAACTATTATGGCTAAAGAGAGATAAGAGTGACATTCCCAGGGTAACAATACAGCTACTAATAAGTATGATGGGGAGTATTTGAATCCAGATCTTCTTATTCAGTACTCTAACCACTACACCACCTAGGTGGTCCTGACCATAAAGGCCCCAGGTGCAGAGATGTAGAATACCAGACCCCTGGTCACACCTGGTCGAAACCTTCTAATGTCTTATCATCCAGATTGTACAAGCTCTCCCAATTCTCCCATTTGATCCAGAACACTTAACTCTACCATCTGATATAGGACTCTTACCACTATTTGAATCCTCCTTAACACAACACATTTCATCTTTTAATGCAGTATCTACCTACCCAACGTCAGTTCACTTAGTTATGTCCCACGGACATTCTTGACATGCTGGACTTACCAATTTGTTGTGGCTGAGTCCAGCACTTGTACAATCCTCTCTCTTTTTGTTTAGGGAGAAAAAAAAGGTAGGCTTCTGATTTAAGGAGAAGTTTGGGGCTGCTAAAAGAACTGTGGTATTTCCACAAAGGCAATTCAATTTGCTGTCTTCAACCTGTCTAATTATGGACTTACTTCAGTCTGAACTCTCTCTCCTTAAACAAAGGACTGACAAAATAGCCTCCTGAGTTATGCATACAGCTGATGGGTACTTTTCACCCACTTGTTGTGGAGAGTTCAGTCAAACTCTTGGATACTTACAGATTTTGCTGAAGAGTCTCCACAATGTTCCAAAGTCTACTGCAATCAGAACAATTATAATCCACAAAGAACACCTGGAGGACCTTACATTTGGACTGTGCACAGAATAACCTCCATGACAATGGCAAACTATGTTGGCAAACTATTTGTCTGTACATATCTCACTGTCTTTCAAGAAATCTTCCACAACTCCAGTAAATGCACAGAAGACATCTAATTGTAGGAGAACTTATAAAATAGCATTGTGTATATTTAATCAACTGATTTTTTTATAGTTGAGAATGATTCAAGATACCTGAAAGGTATGGATTCAGAATGCTTGCAAAAAATTTAGCTGTATGACCCTGGGCAAATCACTTAACCCCACTGCCTATCCAAAAAAAAAAATATCATGGCCCTCATATCATAGCTTATGCTCATAAAAATGTTGTAAAGGAAATACCGATGAATGAGCCTGCCCTACCATCTACAAAATTTTTATAAATAAAAATGTCATACATACAAATACACACACACTCTTCAAATCCTTGAAGAAGGTATGAAAAAGGAAAAAATAGGCTTTCACTGTATTATATTTCTATAGTAGGGCACATTTTTACAGTCAAGAAAAGAATAAAAGATGTATAGAACAGAAGATCTCATTAAATTTGTTACATTAAAATTCAATTTAACAATGTAAAATATGGCCACAACAAAAACATTCTGAAGTCTCCTAGAGTTCATACCTCAAATTTAAAGGGCATTTAACAAATACTTGCTGAATGAACACAAAGTTTTGTCTTGTCTGTTCTTGAGATAGACCTATTGGAATTATATAGAAGAGAATTACCTGATGGGTAAGGCTTGTACTCTAGGCTGAGAGAGTAATTCAATTCATTTTCACTAACATTTATTATATACCTGCTATGTGAAAGACATTGAGCCAGGTACTGGTTGTGGCTGTAATAGCACTCCATAGTTTTTCTATTCTGCCATGAAGAACCAATTATTCTTCAATTCCTATCAAGGACCCAAACCCCTAAGGAGAAGAAACCTTTTCAAACTACTCACAACACAGAAAGAGACATACTAGTTTGGTGTAGGAAAGTGATGGTAATCTGAAGATGTGTAAAACATCTTCTCTCATTTCCCCCATTATATTATCAAGGGTCATCTTATCTGAAGCTGATAGAGCTATGGCCCTGGAGTCAGGAAGACTGGAGTTCAGATTTAGCCTCAGACACTTGCTAGATGTGTAACCCTGGGCAAGTCCCTCAACCTCTCTCAGCCTCAGTTTCTTCATCTGAAAAATGGGGATAATAGTATCTACCTCTCAGTGTTGTTGTGAGGATAAAAATTAGATGTTTCTAAGTGCTTTGCAAACTTTACAGCAGTACATAAATGCTAACTTTTATTTGTGCATAGACGGCAGCTATTTCATTTCCAACTCCTCTGAACAGGGAAAAGATTGTTAGCAATTGATCAAAGAAAAATCTCATAATACAGACTGCTAAGATCCCAAGAGAGTTCATTTTAATGGACGTGGACTTCATACCAATATAAGATCTTTTAAAACAAAATAATTATTTTCTTCTTCACTATAATCAGATATACCAAAAATACAAGAAGTATGGGCAGAATTAATTTCACTAATTAACGGAGAGGAAAGATGCAAGAATTTTAAAAAGAGATATTTTAAAAGTTTTTAAAATAGATTACTTCATCACTCCTAAATTAGTTCTTAATAGAATGCTATGTTACTTTGCTTTAAGTTATCAGATCAGACCTCTACACAAAGATATGCTACATTCTCAACTATGGTTAACCTGTTCTCAGCGGATGAAACTGAAAGCACACTGCCAATAATCTACTTGCATACAGTCAAAACCCAATTAATTAGATTTTCCTATTCCAAAAAAACCTTCTAATCAGAACATCAGGCAATTATGCACACTAATCACAAATACAACTAGCAGATTATTCAGAAATTTCCAAATGTTACCAAGATACAGAGTAGTTTAAAAAAAATACATATATAAACAAACTACCAATTAGAATTTGTATTCAACACTTCAAAAAGCAAAATAATATCCTTCATTATAAATAACCCACTTCTATGTTACAGTAAAGGAACAGGAAAAAAATATCACCTTATGTATGAGACATTAAATCTTTTCTTTCCCAATGTGTGATGACACTAAGAAGAACTATTTAATTCAGTCAATTAGAAGATGAAACTATCATTTAAAAACTGCTTTAGAAAATGTCCTAAAATCAGGAATAAAATTAAAAGGCTAGCTCTACCTGTTCACAAGTTCATCCGCAGTTCTTACTGCATCATCATCCTTCCAGTGGGAATTTTCTTGGGTATGCTTCTTAGATGTATCTAACAGAACAGATTAATTATATTTTTGTTATCCAATGAGCCACTCCAAAATATTCAAACATCTCTTGAACTTTTACTTAAAAAAAAAAGGAAAACAATACAAAAGAAATAGCAGTGTAAATATCTTGATAAAAGAAGAAGCAGAGTAACAAGCTGCCTAATAAAAGACTATGTGACAAATTATGACAGTTTATATTAATCAAAGCTCCCTGGCTAACACAATTGATAGAGCAAGAGATAATCTTGGATCAACGGTTCAAACCCCACCACTGCATTTTATTATGCATTATTTATCTAGCATTTTTTAAAAGGCAGCATGATAAACACTGGCTTTGCTGCCTCAAAGTCAGAAAGACCTGTATTCAATGTGCTAGGCCTGCAGAAAGAAGAAGAAGGAAAAAGGAGGAGGAAAAGAAGAAGAAGAAGAAGAAGAACAACAACAACAACAACAAGAACAACAACAACCACCACCACCCTGGGCTCAAGGACTCTAATTGAGGAAAAGGGGAAAGAAGAAGTGGCTCAAGTATTGCCTCTAACACAGTGGCTGGATGACCCTAGGGCAAGTCACTTTACTTCAGTATTCTAAGTAATTCTCAGATTATAAATTTTAGGATAGGTAGCAACCTGCATTGGTAGAGGGAGTTCCCTCGACCAATTAAATCACAGGTCCTGTTCCCTATTCCCCTATACCAAATCAAGCTGGTAAAAACAAAAATTTGGTAGTCTATTTTCCTCCAGATTATACAAATGGTATTAATTTATATGAATGCAACTAAAAGTAGCAATTATGGCAACATTTATGTAGTGCTTTAACGTTTGCAAAGCACTTTATGATTGCTGTCTCATTTATCTTCATAACAACTCTGTGAGGTAGATTTTATTACCATTCTCATTTTATAAATGAGACAACAGAGGCTCAAAAGAGTTTAAGTGATTTGCCTAGGGTCTCAGAGCCAATAAGGGCCTAAGGAAGGATTCAAACTCAGTCTTCCAGACTCCAAGTCCAACACTAACCACTGTACCACCTTGCTGCCTTGAGAAAGTTAGGGGAAACCAGCTGTGTCACTCTGGGCAAGTCACTTAACCCCAGCTGCCTCGCCAGAAAAATAAAAAATAAAAAGAAAGTTAGGGGGGAAAAAAACACCTTAAAAAATCTAGCTATTTTAAAAGTATACTTTAACATTAACTTTATAAAACAAAGCATCAAAAAGACATCTCAAAAGTTATAACGGTACGAGATAAATACAGAACTTAAATAGTTCAATAGCAAATTCTTATACAAGGAAACTACATTTTTATCCATCCAATGTTTCAAAGATATTTATAAAATGTTCTGTAGAACACTTTGATGAAGAAAACAAACATTCATAAGAAATGTCATAATGACTGGCTTATAATTAATTTCTAAATTAAATATTATAAAGCATTTCAGTGAAAAAGTCATGGGAAAAAACACTGGTCATGTCCAGCTAAAGTCACAAAAGGCTAAGAAATGAGAATGAAGAATCCTATGCAATGGAAACAATTTAGTCTAAAAGCTTAGGATCCAAGGGGCAGCCATCTGCATTTGCTTTGTGGTGATAGGTGAGGCTTTCAAAGCAGAAAACTAATTTCTAACAGCACTAACTGTATCTCAAATACACCTGTGATCTCTTCAATTGGGGAATTCTATCCAATGAAACTGACTGCAACCTATTTCAGGTCTGCTTATCTAGGTCTCCTATAATTTCATCACAGAGGATCCACCCTAACTGTGCTGGTGGCTTTCACTTTCCCCCGACTACCCAGGAAACACTGGCTGTCCACCTATCATCCACTCGCCCTTACCACATGACCAGCCCATCTTCTCTTCCTAACATTTTTTTATTATCTCTTACTGTTGTTCTTTTTGAAGCTCCTCATTGGTTACATGTTACATGTAGCCTGCTTATACCAATCATGTGCCACTCCACTGCCTTTTGTGTGATATTAATTTTTAATTTTTCAGAAACTGATGTATTCCACGTCCCCCTACCATTCAGTAACACCAGTATGGTGTTTTATTCTGACACCCGGTCAAATGTGGGGAGAGCCCTGGTATCTCAAACACACACCAACAGAGTACTATATCTAGCAGGTTCTACTATGTTGGAAAGGCTTTAAATATGGCCCCAACAAAAGACTGTATATGCTTTTGAAGAACAAGCTCAATTAAGTGTGGAGAGGGTTCATTACTACTTGGTAATAATTTTTTTGGGCACAGCAATCTATAAAGCAAAAAGGGAGAGAATGGCCTTCAGTCCTGTGTAGTCCCCTATGTGAGAAAATGGAAACAGTGTTAAGAATCAATGTTACGACCATCTATATACTTTAATTTAATGTCAGGACCCTCTAAATGTAAGATTTTTTTCCCAATGACTATGGAGTGACATACAACTAGTTCAATCAAGCCAATATTGAAAATTCTATTAAAAAAAGGGGGGAAGTTAAAGTTAAATGAAAGATTGGGTCATAGATATGCCACCCTCCTGTCACTTAATGGACTTAAAATTACAGAATAAAATATACATTTCTGTATATGGTCACAATGTAGGAATTTTGGGAGGACTACATTTTTGACATGGGGGTTTTTTCTTTTTTCTTTTTAATTGGTCAGCAGAGGAGGGGAACACTAAGATAATAAAAGCTTGCAAAAGTCAAAGAAATAGAGGAAAAAACCTTATTCAATAATTCTCTGACAAAAAAAAATCAGGTAAGACTTCAAACAGGAAGCTGTAGGACTACCAAAGGCACTTGCCACTTTGATGGTTTGTGATGAAGGACATCTAGCACAAAGTTCATAATGAAGAGGGTTTCTCTATGAATGATGAGGTTGGTCCTCCAGATGTTCCTATTTGCAGATTACAGTGTGCTGGGGACATAAAAGCCCTGTGACATTACAGTCTTCTGACATAAATCTGCAACCATGTGAAAGAGTTTGGGTTTCACATACACACAGGATAGACTAAAAAGATGAAGACTATCTATTGCCCAGATTATGACATACATTTGGATCGACAACCTTTAGAGCTTGTCCATCAATATGTACATCTGGGACAGACAATACAAATGGACAATAAACTTGGCCCAGAGTTGAAAAAGAGCAGGAAAATGGGCTGGACTGGCTTTAAGAAATTGCAAAGCTCCTTTAGTAACCCCCAAGCTATCTACAAAATTATAAAATTCTAAGCAAAAGAAGGCAGTAAACTTAGAAATGAGCAAGAAGAAAACAAATGTCACAACCTAAAGGAAACTAGCAGCTGGGTGCAGGGGGTAGAGTGCCAGACCTGAAGTCAGAAAGACCCATCTTCCTGAATTCAAATCTGACCTCATCCACTAGCCATTTGACCCTGGGCAAGTCATTTCACCTTGTCTGCCTCAGTTTCTTCATCTGTAAAATGAACTGGAGAAAGAAATGGCAAACCACTCCAGTATCTCTGCCTAGAAAACTCCAAATGCGCTCACAAAGAGCTGGACAGGACTGAAAAACGAAGGAACAAAGGAAACTAAATTGGAAATGTTTAAATAGTAAATAACTCCATGAATGGGGAGAGGAGAGAGAAGGACCCACACAGTGAGGAAATCTATCTCAATTCATAACAAAGATTTTCTAAAAACTGACCCAACACAAAAAGTGGAAATCAGTTGTCAAGACACTGTTCTCAGAATGAGTCTTCAAGCTCAGGAAACACCATTCCCAGATGAAAAACTAAACAATTAGGTGAGAGTGGCCCAAGAAGCATAGGGGTGCATACACAGTGGGCCTGGTTTGCCCTTGTGCCCTAGTGTCTCAAAAATGGTATTTTGTTTCTCACTTTTGTTTGAATTTTTTAAATTAAAATTTGGTAATTAAAAAAAAAAAGAAAAGAAAAACTAAACAATTACAAGACAGCCAATCAACATTTCCACTTGAGCCCCTCCCCCTAGGTCCTGATTAGTCTTTTTCTTCACGTGTCCCACCAGGCCAGCTCCAGCCATGTTTCACGTTACTCCCCCACCCCTGTTTTCTCCAGCCACCTTGCTGACACAGTCAAGGGCCCTTCCCACACCTTCATTCCCACTTTCCAGTTCTGGAATGATAATCACACTAATAGTGCCTTAGATACTGGAAAATGTGTGTCAATTTTCTCCCACAATGGCTCCATTCACTGTCCTTTAAACTTTGTGGATAATACCCATTCCCTGTATGTTTGGTCTCTCTTATTGGAAAGTAAGTTTCTCAAGGGTAGAATCTGTCATAGCTTTTTTTTTAATCCCCAGCATTTAGCACATTCAAGGAAAACAATGAACATTTATTAAGCACCTACATACAAGGAACTGTTCAAGGTGCATGGACCAGAGAAATAACAGTCCTTGCCCTCAAGAAGCTTACAATGCGTGCATAAATGAAAAAGCTTTTATTAAGGGCTTATTTCATCCTAGACACCATATTAAGTGCTATGTTTACAAATAGAAAAAAGCAAGACAATCCCTGAGCTCATGGAGATTACAGTCTAATTGGGAAAGAAACTACATAAAAAGAAATGGTTGTGAGAGAGTAGTGTTTTGAACCAGGAAGTCAGAGGGAAGATTGACTGGAGTCACAGGACAAATGACTGACACATCCTTTCCAAGTATTGACTTAATTACCGATCTCAAACAGAGTTGGGAAGAGAAGAGAACTTCACAGGAAAAAGAGATTCTGAGAGGGAAGGGGCATTAGGTATTGCATGGCACAGAGATAGCCAGGATATGGTGGGCCTAAGATTGGGCAAGATAAAACAAATACTTATTCAGAGACCAGGGTCAGAGGACTGAGAACTTGAGTTTGGGGAGAAGGAAGATAGAGAGCAAGTGATAGGATAAAGAGACATAAAAAGGAAAATGTGTGCATATCCAAGTAAATAAAAATTACCAGGGTGGGAGTGGAGGGGATCAGGAAGCACCTCAAATAGGAGATGGCAACTGAGCAGAGCTCTGAAAGGAGTTAGGCACTCCAACAGGCAGAGGTGAGGAAGGAATAAATTTGAAGCCCAGGAGATAGAATACGTACTACAAGGACGATGTAAGTCCACCAGTTTAGAATGTGGAGTATAGAAATGTGAGTAAAGTGTGATAAACTCGGAAGGATAGACTAGAGCCAAACTAGGAAGGGCTTTCAATGACAAACAGGAGTTTCCATTTTTATGTGGGAGTGAAAGAAGAGACATCATGAGCATTTTGACAAAGGGAATAACATGGCAGCCATGAGGACAGATTGATGAGGATTAAGATACGAAGACTTAAACAGGAAGACCAATTAAGAGTCTACTACAATAATTCAGGGGAAAATTGATAATGACCTGAACTAAACTGCAGCCATACGACTAAAGAGAAAGGGCTAAGTGAGAGAGATGTTGTAGAGGCAGAACTAACGAAAACTGGCAAGTAGCTGAATTTGTAAGGTGAGGGAGAGTGGTAGAGGTAAGATGAGTCCAAGGTTGTAAACCTGGGTGACTAGATAGATAGTGGTGTTCTTAAAAGAAGTTGGGAAAGGGGGTGGATTTTAATGGGAAAGATGAGCTCCGTCTTGTACATAAATCTGAGGTTCCATGGGACATTGAATAGAAAATATCTATAGGCAACTGTTGATGTGGATTAGAGATCAATCACTGGATTTGAATATCATCTACATAAAGCTGATAATTGAACCATAGGTGCTAAAGAGATCCCTGAGACAAAACCAAACGCCAGTCTATTTGTTCCTCAAAAATATGGTACTTCTAATGGAACCCCTAAAGATTGTGATTCTTCCTTCTCATGGGATCCAAAAGCTTTTATGTTGCTGGCAGAGGGCTCTGAAGAAAATTATCTGATACGAGAGAGACATAATCAAAGAATTTCAGAGGTAGAAGAGACCCAAGAGGTCACCTTTTTCAAAATGTACTAGAACAAGATTAATGGGCATCAAAAAGATGGGTACAGTCTATAATGTAGTGGACAGAATTGGGGACTTAAAGAATCAAAAGACCTGAGTCTTAATCATATCTCAGACATTTAGTAGATCTGTGGCCCTAGGCAAGTCATTTCATCTTTTTGGGCCTCAGTTTTCCTCATTTGTAAAATGATGGGGCTTAATTTGATGATCTTTAAGGTACCTTCCAGCTCTAAATCCATAATTGTATGAACCACTGTATCCCCAAAAAGATAAGTCTAACCAATAACTTTTGAGATCTTGGAGGAGGAAAAATCTCAGCCTAACTCACAGAGTGCACTGTCCCCTGAAGATCCTGTTACCTCTGCCTGAAGCTCTGTCTGAACCAAGGGACCAAAGTTCCATCTCTGTACCAGACCTGCTGCCACTGCATACCTTGAAGTCTGGCAACCAGAATCCAAATAACCAAGACTACCTAGTTTTTCCAGCCTGTGTCCTACCTGACCATAATAAACTTCTAAACTAGCTCCTCTGCCCCAATTCATAACCAGTATTTAGTAGCAGTAACATGGTAGAAAGAGTGAAGAAGCATCGACCCCAATCCTGGTTATTCCTTAAAACCCAAATGAGTCACTTAACATTTCTTAAGTTTCTACGTCTATAAAATTAAGGGTTTCAATAGGATTATCTTCAATCCCTTCTAACACTAAAATATGATGACTCAATGATATTTCTGACTAACCACATCGCCAGCTGCCTGCCCCAACCAGTGTCCTGCCCAATTTCAACCATCACCTTCCGTTAATGTCCCAGCTAAATCTTAGACCATTAATCCAGCTCCGGATAATTCAAGAACATTACCAAGGAAAAGTATAAAGAACTTAAAATGTTTGCAATAAAAATTCAAAAACTACAAAGCTCTTGGGAGAAGTCACATGAACAAACCTGGAAGTGATATGGGATATCGAAAGAAGATACTGCTTTCATAAACTTCTTCTGAAGCAGGATCAAATGAAAGAGGAGACATTGCCGGTAAAAGATCCAGAGCCTTAAAACAAATGAGATTAGCATCTTGGAATAAATACATTTTGGTTATTGCTACTGTAATACTTCCATTAAATTGGTCTATGAATGATTCTTTATAACACCTAGATTTATCTTTTTTTTTTAATCAGTTTTCCTTTTCATACTTAGGGGAAGTACAACACAAGAGAGCTATGGAACTTTTATTAACTCCCTCCTCCCCTATTCATCCCCCAATGTTCCTTTATCTTAAACCGGTAAAGTACCTCAGAACTTGAAGGTTAGTCTAATGCCTTCACTAATAAAATCTGTATCTCAGATTAAGATTGCCAAACATAATGACTATACTGTTTCATGTTGCATTTATCTATTTCAAACATATATATGAGCAAAATCATAATTGAACCCTGGATCTTATAAAAATTGACTCAAACACAACAAATGTCTATATATGTACCAATTCTAGGCAGGCCATAAATAAAATTTTTCCCATAACTATACTCTAAAAACAAAGTATTGGAAAAGGAAATGTCAAATGACTCAGGTATCTCTGCCAAGAAAACCTCATGGACAGTATGGTCCACTGGGTCACCGAGAAGGTGGATATGACTGAATGACAACAAAAAAAAAAGTAAAAACATTAACAGCATTACTTACTGGAGTCTCATGTTTAATTAGACTAAAAGGAGCCTGATTAAGGAACTCTTCCCACTTCTCGTTCCATTTTCTCTGTTTTTCAGTATTTGACTGCTTTATAAAAATAGCCTCTTGCTTTATTTTATTCCTATAACAGACAAAACGCAGTTCAAAATCATAAAAACAGAGAAACATTCTGTTGAAAATTTAATAAGAAAATCTAATTGCAGAAAATAAAGCTGGCAAGAGTAACATAAACCCAAAGTACATATATATTCTAAATATACAACACATCAATTCTTAGAACTAAAGGAATAATCTATAAATAATACTGTAAATAGTAACCTCTCTTTTAAGGGACAGAAAGGGATTCCAGTTTTATCTTAATATTTTTTTTAAATATTAATTCAGAGTATATTATTCTCACTAGCTCACCATCTACAATAGGTTCACTGGCACCCTACACTTCCTTAGTTGATTTTAAGAAAGTTTTAACATACCGATAGAATAACTGACTCTAAAAACAGCTCTAAACAATAAAAAATGTCAAACAGGAAACTCATTTCCTTTTCTCTCTTTTGTTGGGGGGGAGGATGTGCAGAAGAGTGGGTAATTTAAGCTAAACAAGGAAAAAGAGTATTATCAACTTTATTGGATATTTCAAACATTTCTTAGTGGTTAGTGAAAGTAAAAGACTATGGGCAATTAAATTCTATATATATCTGGCAAAGCTGAAACAAGTTCAAACTACATCAAGAGCAAATGTTCTACTGACAGATACTATCTACAACTAGTCTTCATTCCCAATAACAAAATAACTAAGCTTTCTAAGCTTCAAATAGGTTAAAGCTGGAACTGACAATTAGAAATCATGGGGGGGGGGGGAATTCTTAACCCTTTCTATGTCACAGACTCCACTGGCAGTCTAGTAAAACCTAACAACCCCCCTTCTCAAAATGTTTTAAATGCATAAAATAAAATACAAGATATTACAAAGGAAACAAATTATATTGAAAGTTATTAATATATTTAAAAAATAAGTTCGCAGACCCCAGGTTAGTCCAAACTCATTAGAGATAAGGAAACCAAATCCCAAAGCTGGAGTCAAGACTCATAATCCAAGTCTATTGTCTCCCAGGCCAATCTTTTTTCCACTGCATACCTCATCTGCTTCACTTGTGATAATGTGTTTTTCTGAATTCTGGCCTCTCTCTCAACATAACTAAGGTCTGTTGTCAGTCCTGTTTGGTCAGTACAACTACGTTCATCTTTTAAAATCTTCAGGGCTTCATTTAGTAACCGAATAACAGTTAAAAGATTCAATTTTCCAGCTTCATAAAGGTTTCCTATAAATAACTTTAAAAAGGGAGAAAGTGTTAGTAAACAACAGGATTTTGTGAACAAGAATATGCTATGTATTATACTTTATATTTTTTTACCATAGGGAAAAGTCACCTGTACCATCAAGAGCTATATGAAAACACAAATATGCCCCCTTGAATACAAAGTACATTCAATCCTCCAATGAACCAGTACACAAGAATTACATACCACTCTACATTTTTAATGAAAATTCTCATATTGATACACGAAAAGAAATAGATCAATAACACTGACAGTACAAGTTTCATTAGCTGAATACAGATTACAAAATAAAAATGCCCTGTGCAAGCTCTTTCAATACCTGTCTCATAACTCGAATAATAAAATACCATCTTAATGAAGAGACCTTCTATTAAACTGACAGACTGATTACAGTTGAGTTATTCCTTGTTCTACCTATTTAATTCAACTTTATGTAAAAAAAAAACTCAAAGTTACATGAAAAGTTCTAATGAATAAAGGAACTCCTTTGCATGAGAAGAATGCAGGAAGATGCAGAAGTACTGAGGTGATTCAATAGGTTTAGATTTCACGCAGGATCACATAATGCAAAAGTGGCTAATCTGTGTGTTCATCATGCAGCAACTTAAAAGAATTCACTTGAATTAAGCAAATTTCACCTAATATAGATGTGTTCAGATAATGAAACCCTTACATAAATCACAGAGCAGTTTTTTGAAAATTGTTAGCCCAAATATTTTATTAGAACAGTAAAACAAAGACAAATTGACTAAGTGAAAGTCATTTAAAAAAAGAAAACATATAGAATCAAGAACTTACATGGTACATTTGTTTTTCAATTCTGTCCAGTAAGAGTCTTGGAACCTTAATAGCAACACCAGCTCCATCCAAAGTATACTGATCAACATGACCTGAAATGACTGAATTAACAACTTCTCTTTCTTTTTCCAAAAATGTAAGAGTTTCCATCACAGAATCCCACATCAATCGAACCTTTGAAAGTACAGATTATTTTTTAAAAAGAGACTAAATAAACTAAATATTATTTAATAGACTAAGAAATGAGGGGTAGGAAAGTGAAATCATATTACCTCATTTACTTCTAAAAGTAAATAAGGCAAACTTCTTAAAAGTTTTTAAGACAATTTACAAAATGGCACTTTAATAGTCTGAAAGCATGGCTACAACTTCCAGAAGTACTTCTCAGTCATGAGATATCTCAGTCACTGGAAGAATCTGGCTTGTTATTAAAAAGAACATTACACTACTGAGATGCATGACATACGATATTGGTGTAACAAGAAAAATCAAGAAAGGGCCCCCAGCTCAATGCAGGTACACAACAAACCAAACTTATGGGAGTATACAGACAAGAGTTGCACCATGAGTAAGCATTAATGGGTTGTGTGCTGCATCAAGGGAGGTAACATCCACGTGATTGAAATCATAGATTCGTGAGTATCTGAATATTCCCCAGTCAGAGTGTAATTTTTTTTACTACTAGGTACCAAGAAGATCAGAAAAAGTAATACTTAACTAGGTTTACAAAGATCACGATACATGTAGACAGCTACAATAAGGCAAAGATTAAATGTTTTTAGACAGCAAAATAATGAACTTTTATGGCAAAGAAAAGTCTCACCTTTTGAACTTTCTCTGATATGTTTCTTTGGTCTTCATTCTGGTTCTTTCTAGTTAAAAATTAATTCAGTTAGTTACAACAAAAATAACATGATTTTGTGATTAAGTCAACTCTTAAATCAGTTAAAAAATCCACTTACTAAACCCAGACTGAATAAAAGTATAACTAAAATACTTACTTTTGTAATTTTTGCAATTCTGTGTACTGTGAATTCAAATCTCTTATTTGTTTAATTAATGATCTGCAAGGAAACAAAATAATTTATGGCTCTATTCAAATAACTAGTTCCATCTTTCGTGGTAAGGAACACAAGGGAAAATATTGTTTGTATCCAATCCTCACACTTTCTCCATTTTTACTCAAGCAAAAGGAAAGATGATTTTAAGGTTCTCTTGAATATATATTCTTCTAACTTTATTCAACATCTGGTTAAAGGCCCTCCTATAATACGGTCATAGATTGAGGGATGGAAGAGGCCTCAGAGATTGCTTATCAAGTCCAAACTCCTCATTTTACTGAGGCTCAAAAAGGTTAAATGACTTCCCCATGGTCACACAGCTAGTAAGACCTAAGAAGGGATTCCAACTGAAGTCTTCCTGACTAAAGTCCAGCTCTCCACTTTACATATAAACACAATAGTATTAGCAAGCAGGCATTTCACAGCCAGTTCCAAAGAATTTTTACATGGGTCTCCCTATACAACTTATTCTTTTGGTGAGGGAAACTCTCAGAAAAAGTTCCCTTAGGGTATTACATCATATTCCACTTTTAAGGACAATTTTGAAGCAAGTATGACTTAAAATGTAACTGAACAACAACTGAAATTCTCCATTTTACCAAAATAAAACTATTACTTACTGAGAATTTTCTTGGTATTGTCGAATCAAAGAATCTTCTTTTTGTAAAATCTGTAAAAACCAGGTACGTGCTACATGGCATCTTGTAAATGACTTATGAGGATCTTGAAATTTTATATTAAATGACTCTACAAAGCACTTATTAGAACCTAAATTTAAAATACAAAAAAGTAACAAATAACTTAGTATTCAAATTAGTATGCTTTTAACAACATGGCATTTAATTGAGAGATTGCTAAAATAGCAGACGTAATTGTAAAACACTCGTATTTAAATGGTTAATTAATATTTCAAGAAAAGCAGACAAATTTCAATTATTCATACTGATAGGATAGGATGAATAAATAAAAGCCACATTACTTAAAAATATTTTAACCATCTAGTTAACTAGGGCTACAAGAAACTAAGGAACTGACATTGATTTTTCCCCTCATTTCCAAAACATATACAGGCTAAGAAGCAAATGGCCAAAAAGCACTCTCTAGTATGAAAAAGAATCACCAACCTCAGAGTTGGAAGTGACCTCAGATTATCTGGTACAATCCCTGCCCAAAAGCCATGAATTCCTTGGACAATATCTCTGTCATCATCCAAGATTCTGCAATGATGGGGGAACTCACTACCCCAAAGGCAACTCACTCCATTTTTGGACAGTTCTAACTTGACATAGTTTCAAACCCTCTGACCAACCTAGTCATGCTGCCATGAAGGTTTCCTGGTATATTAAAAAGGACTTTCTAAACTGTGGTACAGAGTTCTGAACAAAACACTCCAGATGTGGAACAACAAAGGCAGAGTACAATATAACTGCCTATCCCCTTAATCTGTACTTTTATTAATGCAACTGAAGATAACAACCTTTTTCTTTTCTTTTTTTGCTAAATCATTAATTAATGACTTCAGAGTTTCCCAAATGCCAAGATCTCTTTTACATGCTTTCAAGGCACATCATCCCCATTCTGCACTTGCAGAGTGGTTTTTCTGAACCCATGTGCAAGATTTAATTTGTTCCTATCCAGTTGTATCTTTTTAGCTTCAGCCCACCATTCTCATAAGACAGGATCCTCAATCCTGCCACCTGATATAAAAACTATCCCTTCCTGGCTCATGTTATCTAAAATGTGGTCAAGATTCTGTCTTCTTCCAAGTTACTTTTCTAGAAATCCCTTCAATATTCCACTGGAAATGTCCATCCAAACTGGGGAAGGAAACAAGGAAAAAGATTGTACCATTCTAATTAAATAATAAGTCCTGAATCTGAGAGCTGACAGCTTATTAAAGTTAATGTGTCTAAAAGAAAAATCAGTTAGTCCAAAATATACAAGGCCCTGAAAAGCATAATTTTGCATTAACCAAGGTCAGGTTTACCTGATATTGTTATGAATAGATTTTTTGTAATGTTTATTTTATTTTCAAACAGTCCTCATCCTCCTCGAACTCTCAAATATATGACACTAGTGATCTATTTTTTCTAAAAGCAATGTGGCACAGGGAAAAGAGAACCTAACTTGACTCAGGAGCCCTGGGTTCAAAACTCCTCCTCAGGTACTTAATAGCTATATGATTCCATGGGCAAGTTCCTTCACCTCTAAGATTTCCAGTTTCCTCAACTGTTAAATGGGGGTACCTCATTACCTTCTCCCCAATTTCTGATACAATACACTTTCCTAATATCCCTCCAGCACTGCTAATCACACTTACAGCTCCCATTTTTTTACTCTTAAATAAAGTAATGCTTTAAATTAAGCAATTCCCCCAAAGTTCTGTCCTTGATTGTTTTTGCTCTCATTTCTCCCTCAGCAATTTCATTCAATTCCACAGTTTCAACTACCAATTCTATGCAGTGACTCAAGAAAAATCTATCTCAAGTCAACAAACATTTATTAGGAGCCTACCACATGCCAGACATATGCTAAGTCCAGTACTGTCCTTTCTTCTAAGTTCCAACTACCTACAGGATTATCTTCATCTAGATGTCTACTGGTCCTCAAACATGTCCAAAATTAATATTGTAATGGTATTTGTTTTAGTGAGATTCAACTTTTATATATCTTGAATCTTATAGGAAAACTCATTAAAACTACAATTTATTCATTTCAGCAACACAGTGAACATATATTCATTAAGCATCTACAGTGTTAAGCAATAGGGATGGCTTGACAATTAGATATGACATTCATGGCTCCTCCCTCCACCTCCCATAGTTTCTTTTACTATTTCTGCCAATGATATAATCATTCACCTAGTCTCCCATTTTCAAAAGCTTATCTTTCCCTCTTTTCTCTCCCTCACTTTGAATCAATCACTAAAATCTTTCATTTACCTTTGCAATCTCTCATAACCATCCCAATCTTCTCTATTTTCACTGCCACCAAGCTAATTCAGGTCACCAATAATGCAACAGTTATTTCCACACTCCCTCCCTAATTCTAACTCATCCTTCTTACCAGAATAATCTTCCTCTTGCATAGATATGGCCAGATCTCTTTTTTCTTCAAAAATATACAGCAGACCCCTTGTTGTTGTTCAGTCACCCAGGCATGTCCAACTCTTCATGGCCCTGTGAACCACGGGGTTTTCTTGGCAAAGATACTGGAGTGGTTTGCCATTTCCTTCTCCAGCTCATTTTACAGATAAGGAAACTAAGGCAAACAGGGTTAAGTGACTTGCCCAGGGTCACACAGGTAGTAAGTGTCTGAAGACAGATCTGAAGTCAGGAAGATGAATCTTCCTGACTTCCAGGCATGGCACTCTATCCACTACGCCACCTAGCTGCTCCACAAAATAATACAAGTGAGTATATAGTTTGGTCCACTAATGTCTCCTTTATCCAATGTTGCTGGGGACCAAAGTGTTCTATATAAAGTATCCAAGTAATTGAATTCAGTTTATTGCCTCAAATGCACATGCTTTAAATTTTGGAAACAATTTTAAATAAAAATCTTGCAGTGTTTTATATACTTCTCAGATGTCTTAAATAGAGAACACAGAATCCAGGTAACTAGGTGGCGCAACACATAGAGTACTGGACTTAGTATTCCCGACTTTAGGGCAGCTAGGTGACACTTACTAGTTACGTGACCCCAATGAAAAGGACTGAACAACAACTTCCCGACTTCAGGCCCAGCACTCTATTCAGAGAGCCAATAAAAAGAGCAGGTGTGGTTAGCAATGCTGGAGAAGTACTAGGAAAGTGTATTGCATCAGAATCTGGGGAGAAGGTAATGAGGTACCCCCATTTAACAGCTGAGGAAACTAGAAGTCTTAGAGGTGAAGGGACTTGCCCAAGGAATCATATAGCTATTAAGTACCTGAGGACGAGATTTGAACCCAGGGCTTCTGATTCAAGTTAGGTACTGTTTTCCCTTCGCCACCTGATGAATTCATAAGCATTCTTTAAAACAATTAAAAGGCCACTTAGTTCCAGGAAGCCTTCTCTAATTCCCTTTCATTATCCCTTAGTAAGCTTGGCCTATCAGACCTCAAAAACCACTGTCTTATACCAAATGTATTTATTGTACATCAAAGATACATATGTACAAATGTCTTATCCCCCTATTAAAATACAAGCTCCATGAATGTCATATCTAATTGTCAAGCCACCCCTATTGCTTAACACGATAGATGCTTAATGCATATTTGTTCACTGTGTTGCTGAAATGAATAAACTGTAGTTTTAATGAGTTTTCCTATAAGATTCAAGATATAGAAAAGTCAAATCTCACTAAAACAAATACCATTACAACAAAATTTCTGTAACAAAAAAACTGAAGACCTATTTTCAACAAGCATTCAAAACAACAGAATTTTAATATGATAAAATAATTTTAACAGTCATGTAGGAGTTTATAGTAACACAATTTGTCCAAACATTCTAAAAATCTCTTAATGTTTTTTACATTTGACCATAGAACTAAAAACTTACCTTACTTTAGGTGTAAACCAAGGGTGGAAAACCTGCAGATTTGAGGCCACATATGGCCTTCTAGGTCTTTGGGTGCAGCCTTTTGACCAAGTCCAAGTTTTACAGAACAAAACCTTTTATTAAAGGGATTTGTTCTGTGAAGTCTGGATTCAAAGTTTAGAGTCAAAGGGCTGCACTTGAGGACCCAGAGGGTCAAACGTGGCCTCGAGGCCACAGGTTCCCCACCCCTGGACTGTAAACCCATCTCTTGATGGTCTGCAAAAAGTCCCTGTTGCATTTTTCAAAATGTAAAATTACTACCATTTTGATTAACTTACTTTCAGAATTGGTTTTAATATACTGCATTGCAACAAATCTTGCAAAAGAGTACATGAGATCAACAAATTTAGGGCCACCAGGAGAAAGAAACAATGAACCAACAACTTGAGGAAAACTGCTTCCACATTCATCCTAAGAAAAAGAAAATGAATTTAAATTTGGATATCTTCTTAGGAGATCTGTTCTTGTTGTAGACTACTTTTAAAAGAATTAGGTACATGTTATGCTAGTAACTACCTGCCATATGGTTTCCTTGCTTAAAGCAGAGCATAAAACTACTTTAAAAAAACACGGGGAGGGGGGCAGCTCGGTGGCACAGTGGATAGAGCACCAGGACTACAGTCAGGAAGACCCGAGTTCAAAACCAGCCTCAGAGCAGACACTTGACACTTACTACCTGTGTGACCCTGAGCAAGTCACTTAACCCCAATTGCCTCACCAAAAAAAAAAAAAGTAATAAAATAAAATAAAAATAAAAAAGACAAAAAATATTGGACAAGTACTGAAATAAAAAATACTAGAAGAGTCTTTAAAAAATACTGAGAGTCAATAATCCTGATCCTGTCACAAACTCCTTGGGTGCCCTGTTAGCAAAGTCTCTTCACTTCTCTGATGCTTCCTTGCTCCCCTTACAACTACTTAGGCAGAGCCAATTAGTGATACAGTGGATAGAATGCTGGGCCTGGAATTAGGAAGTTTTAAATCTGGCCTAAAACACTTCATGACTCTGGATAAATCACTTAACCTGTTTGTCTCAAGTTTCTTCAACTATAAAATGGGGTCAACAACAACACCTACCTCAAAGAGTTGCTGTGAGGGTCAGATGAGATAATATTTATAATAAATCATTTAGCACAGTGCCTGGCACATGGTAGGTACTATATAAATGCTTATTCCCTTCCCCAATTCCCTGCTTCGAGAAAGCAACAGGTGACATGGACTCTAAATGTTCCCACATGGTCATATGAACAACAAAAACATTAAGCATAAAGTTGAACATGACAAGAAGATCTCACAGACAGAAGTCAGGCTGTAGAACACAGCACTGGTTATCTTAAGACCTATTTTTTAGTTCTAGCATACAGGTGTTGGAGCCAAGGTCTCCTAGAGATCATAAGTCTGAGACTCCCCTAAATTATGGAGGGGTGCAGGTAACAACTAGTGATGAAGCCACAAGTATTGACCTTATTTATGAAATAAACTAAAAGTTATCCATAATTAAGAAAGTTTCTTTTAAACAAACTCCACAAAATACAAATTTTCATATGATCTAATTTTCTTCACCTAACTTTTAGTTTTCCTCTCTTAAAAATAACTTTCCAAAAAAGTTTCTGTGCATAAAATGAACATTTTTTTAAAATATGGACCCAAGATTATGCCAATTAATATTTTCCCAGATAATACCCTTAAGAATGTTAAAACCAAGTTCTCCTGAAAGATATTAAAGCAGAATTTTCCATCTTTAGAATAAGAATACTCACAGAAATTCTTTTCAACCACTCACAGCACTGTTTCCGAAATTCAGCATCAGCTTTTCGGTCTACTGGAGGCCAACAGAATCTTTTTGTTTTTATTTTTTGAAAGAAAAAAAAGGAAGAGTTAAAGAAGAAAAGTCACAATCCAGCACATTTAAGTGGGGGGAAATCCTTTATCCTGACTGAGCCTCTAATATGAATAGTAACACAATCAAGGTTGGTGGCATTTATAATTAGTTTGTATCTACACAGACACTTAAGGATCATGTTCTTATTTGCTTTTTACACAACATTTATTACAATTCAATGTCAGTATTCAACAAATATTTGCTGAATGAAAAGCAAAAATTAACCAAGCTCCTAGACACATAAAAAGAAATTACCTCTAAAATTGACAATAAAATCAAAAGAACCATTAGTTTAATGCAGTGGGTTCAAACTCAAATATAAGCAGGGGTCCACTAAACCACACATAAGGATTCCTATACACTATACATTAACTTGGAACACCAGAAATTAACATTATCTTCTTTTAGTTGCATTTTCATTTTATTAACTATTCCCCAATTACATTTTAATCTGTCTCACGGTACACCTGGGAGTCTTATGGGCCATGTTTAATACCTCTGATTTAATGCAGCCAAGCAAGGTAGCATGGATCCATTTGTTCAAAAACACTTGGAAAAAAAAGCAAAACTGGGCCATGAAGTTATGAGGAGCATACTAAGAGGCATGAGAGAAACAACAGTATGGGGCTACGGATCTCACAATTAACATCAAGTTATTGATTATTTATTATTAATAATATTCCCTAAAATAGGCTTCATATCATAATTAAAGTCTGAGAAACACAACCAACAAATTTGTGAACAAGCTCCATACTATGCGGGCTGTTCTGAGATTCTAGAATTTAGCTTAGCACTACCTGAAGCACCCTGTAGCTTCAGGATGATGCCAGTGTATAATAGAAACAATACTGGAATCATTAGACCTGAGTTCAAGTTCTAGCTCTGACACTATTGTAACTATGGACAAGTTGCTTAACCACCCTATCCCCATCTTCCCCATCTGTAAAGTGTGCATAACAAGGCACTACCAACTTCACATGGTTATTGTGAGCAAACCATTAAGATACTCTATTTTTGTTCAGTTTTATCTGACTCTTCATGACCCCATTTGAGGTTTTTGTGGCAAAGATACTGAAGTGGTTTACCATTTCTTCTCCAGCTCATTTTACAAATAAGGAACTGAAAGCAAATAGGGTTACGTGACCTGCCCAGGGTCACACAACTAGTTAAGTGTCTGAGACAGAGATTTGAACTCATGAAGATGAGCTCATCAAGTCTTGCTTATTCCGAGCCCAGTGCTCCACCCAACTGTACCACCTAGCTGCCCCAATGTGCTATGTAACAGTAAGCTACTAAGATGCGTCAGTCAGGGAGCATAAGTCTAGGGCTTCCTTAGCCTTCTGAACAGAGCGTAGTCACAAAAATTAATGACTAATAATGACGCCATAAGTCTCAACCCTCATTATGAAACAAGTTAAGATTTACCCATGGTCACAAAAATGTACTTTAAACAAAGACAATAAAATATAAACTATAATTTCTAATCTCTAATATCTTTACTTAGCTAGAAACTGGTTCAGCTTTTTTTAGGAAGATATACATAATTCCCCTCCATCCGTATTTTCTCTTTCAGAGGATAGTCATGATAACAGGGTTGCAGAAGTCTGAGTCTCTGCTATATAATTCAAACACCCTTATAGAAATTACCATTCCAAGGTATTTAGTAAAGTGTAGGTGACAGTGGTAGGGGGCCACAAAGTAGGTATTTAATAAATGAGTGCAGACTGACAATCTATATAAAGATTAAGTTTAAAGGAAACAGCTTTCTGTTCCTAGCAGTTCAGAGCTTAATTCTGACACAAAGTTGTAGGTGAAATAAAAGTAACCAAAATCTGAACTTGGGCAAAAGTACATAATTTTAACATACACCCAAAGTAAGGCAATCACAGTAAGGTCCATGAGATAGTAAGCAAAAAAAAAAAAAGTCACAAGAATTGAATGCTTAGGCACAGTAGGGCCAAAGAAAAAAGTCCTTGTGCCACATCAGAAAAGAGGTAAAATGTTCAATTGTTTTTGTGAAAGGGATCAATTGACTATAGAATAATTATCATTTTACAAGGACATTAAATTGTGTTGCATTTCCAGAACTTAAACTTTACGTAAGTACCTGCCTACAACTTTAAATATCCTCTGAAAACATGAGCTTTAAGATGACTACTCAGAAAAATTGTCAGATCAAATTTTAAACTCCAATTTATAACTTATTCAATTTACAGATATTACAATTTGACATACAAAAATGGATAAAGTAAAAAACATTTTACTCACCTGAATACTTCTTTAGCATGGGAAGGATTCAAAGTGGTAAACAAAAAGTAGGCAACTATGTGAAAGGCATCACCGTTAGGTTTGTCAAACATGCTCCTAATTTTTTTAAATAAGACAGAGGTTAGTGAAGATCAATAACACCATACTTTATGAATTTCTTCTTCCAAGGAGAAAAACAATTTAATTTCTCATTCACATGCATGTATAAAAAACTAAGTGCTTTTCTGGGAAATATTGATCAAAAGAAACAATGTATAACATTTGTTCCATTTCTCATTCACATGCATGTATAAAAAACTAAGTGCTTTTCTGGGAAATATTGATCAAAAGAAACAACGTATAACATTTGTTCCATTGATTAGATATTCCCATGTACCTAACCCATTAGTGCATGGAGCCCTAATTGAGAACGAGGTCTAAACTTTGATCCCAGGTTTGTCAGAGTTAATGCTGCCACCCTTCTGGCCTCTTCATTGCCTCAGTTTCTCCAACTAGGAAAATATAAAGAAAGTCTTTTCTTGAGGAACAACTAAATATACATAAAAGAATATTAAGCACTTTAGCTGCATGGTACAAGAAAGGCATTCCTCTCAGAGTTGTTTAATAAAGTTACTGAATCAATCATGGTAAAGAGAAGAACCATTCTGAGGTTAGAGAATTTAGGTTCTAATCAGTCTGCCATCTAGTTAACTGTGAATTTGGACAAGTGACTTCCCTTCTCCAGACTTCAGTTTCTTTATCTAAAGGGCACATCCAGCTGTAACAGGCTGGGATTCTGAATCCTGTAGAGTACTATTATAGAATAACCACTCCAGCAAAAAGAAATAAAAACAGAGAATCCAAATCTAATGAAGCCTATGGGTTACTTCCATCAGCTGAACTACCAAAAAAGTGATAAAGAATAAATAACAAAAAGTTAGCACTGGAAGGGTCTTTAGAGATTCCTCACCTTATGGGTAAAGAAACTGAGACTCAAAACAGAAATGTGATTAACCCAAGGCTACAAGCTAATCAGTGGAAAAAGCCTGGGCTCCCCAGGTCTGTTTTAGCTCTATGTTTCTCAGAAAGAGGAAAGTTTGTGAGCCACTAAATATAAGATCACCAACTAAGATGCTTATCTCTAAAGGGAAACAAAAGGAAAACTATGGGAGACTTCGAAAGGATATCTATCTATCTTCAACATCCTCCCAATCTTCTTCAGGAAGCAGAGCCCCATAATGGAAAAGGCAAAGTGTTGAGAATCAGAAGGGCTGGGCTTGAGGCAGGGGCTTTGACTTTTACTATCCTGAACAATTCACTTCACTACTCTAAATTCACTTTCCTTATCAGAAAATGAGAATGATCCTAGTATAACCTACCTCACTGCTTATCAAGGGCTTTGTAAACATGAGTTATCCTAGTCTATTTTCTATGGGCCTCATACCTTCATCTGCGAAATAAGATGAAGTAGATTATCTCTAACGTCTCTCTCAGCTCTAACATTTTATCTATAATAAAGTAATGTAGGTTGATTACTATAGGACACATCTTCCAGGAAAGCCTAGGTATGGAAGAGGTTGGACTCCATGACCTCTGAGGTTCTTTCCAATTTTGAGATTCTGGGACTTTGAAATTCCAAGTGGAACCTACAGATGAATTCTCTAACCTTCTGTTTTGTTCTATGTCTATCCAATTTAGGACAGCATCAGTCACTAATAATAATAATGACAACTGGCCTTTATATTATGTTTTAGTTTGCTAAGCACTTTGCAAACTCACCTCACTCAGTCTTTACAACAAAAATAATAGCAGCTTGCATTTCTATAGAACCTACGAACTGCAAGCCAGGCACAGGGCAAAAACACTATACAACAGTTACTTCATTTGATCCTCACAACTCTGGGAGGGAGGTGCTGTTATTATCCTTATTTTACAGCTGAAGAAGACAATAAGCAAGTATTTCTACAGCACCTACTACATGCCAGGCACAGTGCTAAGCACTTCACAATTGTTAGCTCATTCGATCCTCACAACCCTGGAGAGACAGGGTGCTGTTATTTTACATCTTATAGTTGAGGAAAGAAAAAATAAGCATTTCTATAGCACATGTGCCAGGCACTGTGCTTAGCTCTTTACAAGTGATGCATTATTTGATCCTCACATTTTACAGTAGAGGAAAGTGAGGCAAAGGTTACGGGACTTGCTACCCGAAGGCTAGTGCTGGGACTCCAGAGCCAAAGCTCTTTCCAGACCCCCAAAAAATGTCAGGGGGAGTGAAATTAAAGCCTAGCCCAGGTGAAACTAAGAGAAGGCCCCACTAAGGTGTAAAGAGCTTCTGGTCCATGGGTAACAGGTGACATTATATTATATTTGCAAAGTGCTTAGCTCTGCGCCTGGCACATAAATAAACAAATTACTTGAGGGGCAGCTAGGTGGCGCAGTGGATAGAGCACCGGCCCTAGAATCAAGACGCCCCGAGTTCTAATCCGATCCCACCTAATAGCTCTGACCTCGATTACCTCCAAAAACAAACAAATAAATAGATGCACTACTTGTTTCCCTCCCCCTCCAGGCCTCAGTTTCCTCATCGTGACCCAGCTCGCTTCCAACAGCTCAGTCGCTTACACTCCCAGCTTCGTGTGCGACGTGAGCTTCCCAGCTTCGGCCGCAGCCTTGTCCGGCTCGAAGCCCAAGGCCAGCAGGAACTGCCACAGGTGCTCCTTCTTCCAGGCCGCGGGTCCGGCGGCGGCGGCGCTCATGGTTCGCAGCTGCTTCCTCCTCTTCCTCCTCCTCCTCCTCCTCCTCCTCCGGCAGCAGCGCCGGCGCACACGAGAGGCCCAAGGCCGGAGACAGCCCGCTCCAGGGAGCTGAGGCCCAGCGGGGAAGAAGGGATCGAGGGAGGGTGAAAACAACGACAAAAGACCAGGCCTCGAGAAACGTCTTCCTCCGCCGCTCCTCTACACGCCTCCACTTCTGCCCCGACGGCAGCGGAGGCGACTGCTCAGCCGCCCCCACCCATCCCGGCTTACAAGCGAGCAGCCATTTTATTTTCCCCCGAAAAAACCGCTCAAAGCTGTCGGGTTCAACGGAACCGCCAACGGAAGCGGCTCCCCCGCCCCCTGCGAATGGCGTCACTTCCGGAAGCTCGACCCGATGTGATTGGCCTAGGCCACCTGCCGCCTTAAGGCGCGCGCTTTAATCCGTGCCTTTAACTAAAGCTCCTCTCCAGGAAACTACGAGACCCACAGTGCTTTGCTCGGAGACGAGGGAAGAGGTAAATGAGGGTGTTGCCATATACTGTAGCGGGACCAGACTCTGAAGTGTTTAGGGGGGTTTTTGGTTTGGTTTGGTTTGGTTTGGTTTGGTTTTGCGGAAAGAAAAGGATACACCAGTAGAACAGTAAAATTGCCAAATGCCCTGGGACTGTAACAGATTAAAGGAGCTAGAACTGGAATGGACCTTAAGAGATCTTCTGGAAGAATGCTATCCACCTCCAGAGAGAAAACTGCATAAATTCAGTGCAAATAGAAGTATGCTTTTTTTCCCTTGTTTTATTTTTCTTGCCTTTTTTTTTTGGCAACATGGCTAACGTGGGACTATATTTTGCATGGCTTCACATGCATAACTGATGTATTGTTTGCCTTCTCAATGGAGCAGGTGGAAGGAAAGAATTTGGAGCCCAAATTTTTTTTTAAATCCGTGTTAAAAGTAAATAATAAATTTTTACAAGAGAAATTTTCTAGTCTCACACACTTTTTTTACAGTTAGGGAAAGTGCGATGCAGAAAGAAAAATTGATTGGTCCAGTACTACTCTTCTAGTAAAGAGGAGAATTGGTGAGGCAAGTATTTTTTCTTCCAATCTTTAAGGTGAATCAACCAAGGCCAAGAGTGATGTGACTTGCCCAAGGTCACATAACTAATCAAGGGCAAAGCTGTATCTGAATTGAAAATTGAAGGAATGCCCATCAATTGGGGAGTGGCTGAACAAGTTATGGTTTTGATGAAATACTATTATGCTGTGGGAAATGAGTGGGATTGTTTCAGATAAAAGCATTGCCACACCTATAAGAACTAATGCAAAGTGAATTGAGAAGAACCAGAAAATCATTGTGTACAATACTGTTCTTATTGTTGTTTGTCCTTCTTTCTCGAAGAGGACCATGACATCGGGGAGGTGATGCCATGACATGCAAGTGAATTGGATTTAAGTGAGGCAGGGCAGTGCAAAGTCACCAGTCTTAATTTTCTCCTTCAGAGCCATATTGGTCCAGTGACAAGATATAGATCAGGACAACTGGAGATGGCCCTGGATGCACAATAACAGCAATGTTGTAATGACTATCAACTGTTAAAGACTTGGTTTCTGTCATCAATACAATGAGCCAAGACAATTCCAAAGGACATGCGATGAAAAAATATTACCCACCCCCAGAGAAAGAACTGATGAGCCCTACACCAAGGGAGGGATCAGTCCTAGGCAAAGAAAATCAAGGATGTACAGAAATGTTCATAGCTCTTTATGGGATCCTGCCTGTGGGTACTCCTTCAATTCTTTCTTTATGACTGCTTGCAGTTTTTTTTGGAAGTTCTGGATTTTGACTATTCTGTTCCTGAAAGTTTCATTTTGGGGTTTCTTTCAGAAAGTAATCAGAGAAGTCTTTCTATTTCTGTTGTGCCCACTGGTTCTAAGAGATCTGGACAGTTTTCTTTTAAGATTTTTTTTAATTGGATGTCTAGGCTTCCCAGGGTCTGTAGATGTCTCTGTCCTTGTATGCTGAGCTGGGCTAGACAAAGGACTCGCTGTGACCTTTTCTGGATTTCCCAACCAGAATTCCATTTGGTGAATTTGTTAAATCTGTTTGGAAGAGTTTGTGGATAGGAGCTCCCCACACCGTTTCCCACTCCATCATCTTAACTCCCAAGGCCAAAATTAAGAAGTTTGATTGACTCAATCAGTCAAAGGCATAAACTAGATGAAAAACTTAATCAGTTTGGGAACAGTGAAGTAGCTTGATTTTGGATTAAATTAGATGATGTCATACAGGGAATGTACTGGGATTAGTAGAAAGAACCAGACATACACATAGGTTTATGTATAATTGCCCAGAAAATTCCACTTTAAGCATTCTAGCAACAAACCAGTCTAATAGTTGCCAAAGTAACTCCCACTTTTGACCACTGGACAACCTGATGAACTTTGAAATGAAAGATCAGAAGACTTAGACTTCTTGTTGAGTATCAGTAGCAATGTCCCAGAATAGCATATGACAATAGCATATGACAGAATAGCATATCGGGGCCATCTCCAATTGTCCTGATGAATATCTGGCCTCTGGACCCAGATGGCTCGGGAGGAGAAAGTGAGGCTGATAAGCTAGCACATCCCTCCTCACTTAAATCCAATTCACTTGCAAGTCATGGCATCCTCTTCCTGATGTTAAGGTTGTCTTCAAGAACAAAGGACAACACCCTGTGAATAGTCCAAGCTGCCCCACTGGAGACTGGCCAGTTCCAGTTGGGCAACTCAGCTCCTTCCTCACCTCTCCTCTCCTCTCTTTCTCTCCCTCTGTCCTCATGGAGTATCTTAACATTACCTGCAGGTGCTCTGTCCAGATGCATGTGAATTTGGATGGCTGAAACCTAGCAAGATATGGGGTTTACTAGCTAGATTTCTTCATAGACCACGCCTTAAACCCAATTCACTGTGGCTCTCACTGATTGGCCAACAACAGGTCTCAGCCCAAGCCCCACTTACTGGTCATTGTTTGGGTTTTGATGGCTCAAAGAGTAAATAGCAATTGATTTTGTTCTGGCCAGAAACCCTGAGGGGTTTTTTTTGGGGGGGGGTTGTTTTGAGTAGGTAAAAAGAGGCCATTTTCTGCCTCATTTTTTACCTAGCCTTAATCACTGAATGGGTGTTGCCTCAGTCTAACTAAGACTTGGTAAAGAGCTCAGCTTAAAAAGGCCAAGGTCTCCCACTGCATCCAGGGCCATCTCCAGTCATCCTGATCTGTATCTCCCTACTGGATCCAGATGGCTCTAGAGGAGAAAATGAGGCTGGTGACTTGGCACAGCCCTTCTCACTTAAATCCAATTCACTTGCAAGCCATGGCATCACCTCCCTGATGTCATGGTCCTCTTCCAGAATGAAGGACAAACGACAACAAGGATGTATTCACTAAGGACAACAAAACTATAAGAGCATCAATTCTTGGAGCCCAACATAGAGTTATACCTAAGGAGAACTTCTTGAGGACTCCACAAAGGCGAAAAAGGACTCAGTAGCTAGGAGCTGTGAGGTGGTCCCTCTGGCCACACATGCTTTCTAAGCTTGAGCCTTTTTTCCCTTTATTGCAGAAGTGAGGAGATGGGAGATTTACAGGTTTCACATGTTGCACCTGTTTTTTGAATTCTCAGTGTATTGATTAGTTGCACCATTTTTTTTCTTTTTCTTTTTTTCCTGTTCTTAAAAACTACTATTTGTTATATGGGATGGTATTTGATTTCAGGGAGGGGGAAGGTGAGGTATCCCAGGGAAAATTATTGTGATGTAAAAAAAAACAAATAACATCAGTAAAAACTTATGAAAATAAGTAATTGTGGCAGTGTCCCATGTTTTAAGGGTGGGAGGATTCCTCTTTGTGGCAATTTCTTAAAATATTGTCTCAGTAACTCTCTCTTTTTAAAAGCTAATTAATTCTAGCCAACTAGTTGATAATCAGTGGGGAAAACAACAGATGAGGGCTTTCAAGCAGTACTAGAAGCTATAAACCTTCGCTCCTGAAGGAAAGCAAGTCAGTCCCTTGATAGGGATTCAACCTGTTCATCCAGTTTGAGGTGGTAAAATGAACCCAGAGGGAATGCTACATATTTATCTGCACAAACTTATCTATATTTGTTGTAGCCCCCATTAGTATATAAGCTCTTTAGGAATAGGGATTGTTTCATTCTTTGTGACTGCATCTCCATTACCTTGAAGGTAGTAGGCTCTTTTCTTAAAAATGAGTTTTTATTGATGTATTGTTTCTTACATCATCATAGTTATCCCAATTTCACTTCCCTCTCCCAGAGTCCCGTCCAATACAATAAATAGTATTTTTTTATAGAGGAAAAAAAATCAACACAACTGACTGATACCTTGAAAAAGTCTAAAAACATGTGCAATATGTAATGCCTGTGGACCTCCCACCTCCACAAAGAGATGGGTTGGGGTGGGGGGGAGTCTCTTCATATCTCTTTAAGTCCTACTTGATCTTAATAATTTTGTTACATTCACTTTTGATTTGGGGGAGAGGGGTGTAGTTGTTCTTTTTATTTATATTGTCAGTATAGAATAAGGTAATCCTGGTTGTCCTTCTGAATTCACCTTCTCATTATTCTCCCTTTAACTTCCAAGGTAACAGCTACTCAGGCAGCATTAGTCATTATCGGTGTTTAAAAAAAAACACACCTATAAATGGCAGTGCTCAAACTTTTTATTTCAACCATTTCAGTGATTATCAAGCTAGATTAATAGCCTTCACAACCAGAATTTCTTACACATACTATGGAAGACAAAAAAACAGATATCCAGTGGTTTTTTTAGAACAAATTAAACAATTCAAAACAATTCAATGAGGAGCCAGCAGAGGAGACAGAGAAGGGGAGATTAAAGAAGCAGAAGGAAGAAACCAAAGGAAGAGATAGGACCCAAAAGGAGAAAGGCGGTCAATAGTGGCAAATGCCCCATGCAGAGACTCAAAAGAGGACCTTGAGACTTAAGAATGCTGAACACCAAAATGATAGATCATGATTCCAATTGACTGATGGTGAAGAATGCTAACTACTTCCTACTAGAGCAGTGATGACACAGAATGAGACACATTCTTCCACATAGCAAGTAGGAGAATTTGTTTTTGCTTACCTATGTTTATTTATTGCAAGCGTTTTGTTTTCTGTTTGTCCGGGGTTTTGTGGGAATGTTGGAATTTGTTGGAATTTTAAAATGTTGGAAATTGAAAAAATATATGTAACTTTGAAACAATAAAATAAAAAGGCCATGGGATTAAATAGGAATCCTTTTGAGCAAGGATTGTTTCTTTCATTGTATTTATCCCATCATAAGAAATTAATAGAGGCTTGTTAGTTGACTGATTTTTATCTTCTGAGGGGAGTTCCATTAGCCAAGTTAAATGAGGTTAATGAGGGAAGTGATGAGAGAGTGGTTGTATCAGGTATAATCCAACTTTCCAAGAAACCTAAGGGAGAAAGAAGCTGAACTGTAGCTAGCTAAGACAGGATCAACAAAGGATATTTTTAGGATGTGGGAAATTTGACCAATGTTTGTAAGCCAATAGAAAAGAAATAGAGAGAAAGAGGGGGATGATGTATTTAGAGACAGGATAATTCCTAGAACAAGATCACAGGAATGAATGAGATTGGGAACAGAGGCATGTAATTTTGAAAAGTAGAGGACTGGGGAAACATGGATCAGTCTGTTTCCTCGGTGTATTATTTGCTGTAATCGTGGAGGACAGGAGCGCACTGGGCGACTTGAATAAAGAAGAAAAAGTTTGTAACAGTTGCTCTGGGGAATGAAATAAGGAATCAATAAAATTAAAACAAAATTTACTACCACTCCCAAAAACTATAAAAAATACTTGGAGAAAACATGTAATTTAGCAAGGTAAAATGCTATATTCGAGATCAGTTTGCTGTTCTTTATTCATTATTCTGACTTAGGTTAACAGATCCATTAAATCTTGAATAATCAACTTCGTCCTCCTCATCCGAAGCTAAAATGTCTGGAATTTCATAAGTTTCAGAAGATAAGTCAGTGATGGTGAAATCTGGCACCTGAAAAAGAAGAAACTCAAATATTAAAAGTAATAGCTACTTAAGCGAAAAGATCTATGTAGAGAATGAGAACTTGTCTTATCAAAGAAAATCTGTGATAAATACTTTAAAATAGAAATACTTTCTAAAATAAAATTGTAATTTGTTTCCCAAATATAGATTTTTATGTACCAGATTTTCTTAAAGTATAAAGCATTCCTATTTATAAATAGGTAACATAAATGTAGGATAGAAGGAAAGCTAGGTGGCCCAGTGGTTACAGTACAGGCCTAAAGTCACTAAAACATCTTACTGAGTTCAAATCTGACCCCAGACACTTACTAGCTGTGTGACCTTGGGCAAGTCACTTAACTTTGCCTCATATCTGTGAAATGATCTAGAGCCCCTCTAGTATCTTTGCCAAGAAAAAAAAAACTCATGGGGTCACAAAGAGTCAGAAGCAACTGAAATGACTGAACAAGGATAAAAGGATCATAGATGTGAAGCTGAAAAAGATCTGAGAGGTCACCTAGTCCAATACCCTCATTCTACAAAGGATGAAACTGAGGTCCAGTGAATTTAACTGACTTGCCCAAAGTCAAAGTAATAATGATGATTAACACTGTGCTAAGAGCTTTATGATAATCATCTCATTTAATCCTCAAGAACTCTGGAAGGTAGGTACAATTATTAACCCAGTTTTACAGATGAAGAACTGAGACAGAGGTGAAGTGACTTGCCCAGAGTCACACAGCTAGTAAATGGCAGATCCAGAGTTTGAACTTAGGACTCATGACTCTTTTCATTAAATATTCATTTGTTTATACCTTAAGAAAAGTAAAGTAATAATGCACTTGATAATCCATGGTCAGACTTCCAGCAATTGCAGTCCTCTAAAACATGCACAAGCAGACAGAAGATAGAAAAAGCCATTAATACTTTTTTAAAACAATCTCTCATAAAGTTTATGCACTTTGTTCTATAGGAACAATCAAAGACTTATCCTTGAGACACAATTCTAACAGTCTTGGTGCTGTTTTCCCCATCCCCTAGGCCTAGCAATTAGAAACAGCCAATTATAGGGAATAGGAATAATAGTAAGTGTACCTAGTAGCACACTAACAGCATCAAGAAGTAATAGGGACATTAAAGAAGACAAGCTACACAGAGTATCTAGCACAATGGAAATGTAATAAATGGTTACTGGATTCATTAGGTGAAAGCGGTCTGGAAGAAGCTTAAATTGTGCCTGGGGGCTCAATCTAGTTGTTTGATCCCACAACTCTGCTTTTCTTCCTTTGCCCAGGTACTTTAAAGATGCCTGGTTGCTGGGCAAGCAAAATCCTATAGGACCTTTGCATGCAATTCTCAGCATGAGATGCTCTAAAACAGGACTGCACAACCTGCAGCACACCAAAGGATTTTGGGAAGCCAGAGAAAAATGTAGAGGAAAACATCCAGAGGTTGTGCAGGCCTGCTCTAAAAGGCTCAGAGCCCTTCATGAAGGCCCACTTATTGGAGAAGCTGACCCTCTGTGACCTCCAACAATACCTGGAATATTTCAAAAGTCACCACTTTTTGTACGTAGGAAGACTAGTATACTAATGCACTACATCAATTGTGAATCAACTCAACTGTTCCGGAAAATAATTTGGAATTATGCAAGAAAAGCTTCAAAATTGTTCAGTATCTCAGATCCAGTGATCTGACTGTGGTGTTTACGCACTGCAGAGGCTACTGACAAGAAAAGACCTATCTTCAAAAAAATAAATAAAATAATAAAAACATTATTTGTTACTGCCAAAATAAAAAAAGGAAATAAATTCTGTGACTAATGACTGGAGAATAGCCAAAGAAACTGTGTTATATGGATGTAATAGAATATTTGGGTACAAAAATTAACACTTGAAGAATTCAAAGAAATATAGAAGTGTTCATAAAGTGATATAGAGTGCACAAAGGACAGCTTAAAAGTACAACCTGCAGGCTACAACCCTAAAAGTAAGACAACTTTCAACAGTATCAAATCTCAGGTCAAAAATAATGGGAAACATTGTTACTAGCTTAAAAGCACACAACTTTTCTTTTAACAAATGGAAAACTATTGAAGGTCGCATGTACTCAAAATCATTCCTATGTTGTTTGATTTAACTGAAGGATTTTACATCATGGAGGATTCAACTGGGAGAAAGATGGGGATTATCACGTGTTGAAACAAAATTTACCATAAAATTTTAAAAAACAAATGAAGATCTCTCAGGAGAACTACTCAAACAGCTCAGCTTCCTGATATGGAGTCCCTAAAGACAATTAAGACCAAATAATTGCTTCTAATTTACGGTTGGAAACCTGGAAACCGCCCAAGGTCTCAGACAAAGCTTATTTGAGTATGGAGAAAAAAAACGGATGGGAAACCATACCCTGGAAGGAATCCACAATATAATCCCTTGGTTGGTCTAACTACCTTTAACATAATCTTCCCTCCTTTATTTGCAGAGGTAAGGGACCCATATGTGTTGGACATTGAATATATTATCAGACTCAGTTGAAGTGTGGGTCAGTTTTGCTCACCTGCTTTTTACCCATCTTATTTTGGCTAAATGGGTAGGGAAGAGGGAGAGATATAATTAAAACTGACCTCAAAACAAGAGTTAAATGAATTTTTTTTTAGGTTTTAAGAAATTAAAATTAAGATTAAGTGGTCCTCAACGTCTCTGCAGGGAAAATACAATAAGCAAATATTTAAGTGATTAAAATTGTGTAGTACAAGAACTTGGATTCAAAAGAAACTAGGGTTCAGACCCTGCCTTTAACACTTACTCCTTGTGTGGCCACGAGCAAGTCAATAAACTTTGTAAACTGAGTTTGATCATTTATAAAATGGGAATAGTAATAGCCACAGAGCTTACTTCGAAGGTATCAAATGATGTCATGTTCACAAAGTGCTTTACAAACCTTATGTTAACTATTGATATTGCTTTCACTTAATAACTTTCATCAATGAAATAATCAACCATGATTCCAGAGGAGTAATGATTCATGCTACTCATATCCTAACAGAGAGGTCATGGATTCAAGATGCAGAACAAAATATATGTTTTTGGACATGGCCAGTGTAGGAATTTGTTTTGCTTGACTATGCTTACTTGTCACAAAGGTTTTGTTTTTCTTTTTTTTTTTAATGGGGGTGGGAGAGGGTAAGAAAATCAATTTTTGTTCATTGAAATTAGAATAGACTTGTACAGATTGACCCATCCTCTATCTTGAAGAAAGAGCTTACACACAGAACCTTTAAGAGGATCTGATTGTTTAATATGCCCCACTTTCCTCTCAAATTATGAAAGCAATGACACTAACTTTGGGTAGGGATTTTTTCCAAGTGGATCTTTAGGGAAGAGACTGCTTTTCTCCCATGGAGTTATCCCATTCTTAATTGGAAGTGTCAAAACCTTGGTATGACAGCCCTACTAGAATATGAAACTTGCTGTATGTCCCAAAACACCAAATGACTCCTCAAATGGAGGAGTTCCTGGAGTTTCAGGAGCCTGTTGGAGAGAATTTTTGGAAACTCTTTTGCATACAGGACCTCTTAGGAAACAAAAAGCAAGCTGTCTTGGATAGGCTTTATTTTATTTTTTTTGTTTTGTTTTTTCCAAAAATAGACCTAACAAAGAGTCTTAAGAATTACCACCCATCCTCCTATCCTGGAGCCCTAATAGCATTAACAACCTGCTTGGGATCCCCCACACCAGTGGCATCAAATTCAAATGTAAAAGGGGCCACTAAACCCTACAGGGGTATTGATTTAGAAAACTACATGTTAATATTACCTATATTCCACTGTGCTTTTTATTTATTTTGTTAACTATTTCCCAATTTCTTTTTAATCTCGTTTGAGCTACACTCAGGAGTGTTTCGGCCTCTATTTAGCCAGGTGTTTGACACCTCTGCCCCACATTCATTCTTCTAACTTTATTGGCTGGCTTTACTTAACCCTCATGCATAGTCTAAGCCCCAAACCTAATCAGGGAAATAACTCACAATTATATAGCATTATTAAATTGACAAAAAATTTTCCTAACAATAATGACAATAATAGTAATAAAACCAATATTTATAGGGGGCTTTAAGGTTTGTGAAGCACTTTATACACTTTAATTTGATCCTCACAAGTACCCTGTGAGGAAGGTCCTATATTACCCCCCGATTTACAGAATAAAAGAAGAAACTGAGAGTGAGGTTACAAAGTGATTTGCTAGTGGCATCACACAACTAAGTAAATGTCTGAAGCAGGATGGAAACTGAAGCGTGTAACAACCCTGTAATTTAGGTGGTACAAGTATTAGTATTCCCATTATACAGATGAGAAATCAGATTCAGAGGTTAAAGGGATTTTTTTCAAGGTGTTAGAACTAAGAAATAGCAAAGGTAGGATTCAAGCTCAGGTCTTGACTCCAAGTTCACTGCAATTTCCACTATGCCAAGGTGTGTCTCTAAACATAGCAATGGGCTAGTCTCATGGTGTTTTGCCCTGTTTTGTTCTCCTGTGACTACATTTCTGCCTTATCCCCTGGATAGGATTGCACTGTTATTGTCCCCAAGAACCAGAATTCTCTTTGGTTAAACAAGTTTTTGTCCGGTACGCTAATACCACTAGGGTTTTGTTTGTTTTTTTTAATGCTGCTCCAGGGAACTATCATTTCTCAGTACTGAGTCCCTTCTGTTACCAGAAATGTTCCACACTTACCAGATTGCCTTTCCAAAGCCAATCACTTAGCTGGACCTCTGCCAATAGTTTGCCACTTGCCTGATCCTCTATCTTCACCTGTCCCTGTATAGACAACTCTACATTGTTAACATGGCATAGCAGATAGAAAGCCAGACTCCAAGCAAGGAAGACCTGGGTTCAAGTCTCACCTCTGATACCTACCAATTGTGTGAACCTGGGCAAGTCACCTCTCAGTGTTCTTGGCAACTCTCTGAGACTATAAATTATAGAGAAGTTACCAACTGGGATTGGTAGCAGGAGCTTCCTTATCTGGGAGTTCCCTATATCAGTGAAATTACAGGTCTAGTCCCTATCCCTTATCCCACAGAGGTTAACTTTAAGTTTATGGACTCTGTAAGAGTCTGATACCATTGAAAGAGCACCACATTTGGAACCAGAAAATTTGTTTTCAGTTCCTAGCTACTTACTACTTATCTGATCTTGGGCCAAGTCACTTACTTAATCTCTCTGGTCTATAACTAAACTATATGACCTTCTGGATGATCAACTATGAAAGACTTAGCTATTGTGAGCAATACAATGAGCTAAGACAATTCCAAACGACTTAAGATGAAAAATACTACCCATCTCTCAAGAAAGAACTGATGGAGTCTAAATGCAGACCAAAGCATACTTTTTTAACTTTTTCTTTGGTTTTTTTTGTGTGTATGTGTGTTTTCTTCAACAACATGACTAATATGGAAATATGTTTTCATGACTGTACATATATAACCTTTATCAAACCGCTCGCCTTCTCAATGAGGGGTACAAGGAGGGAGGGAGAGAATTTGGAACTCAACATTTTTAAAATGAATGTTAAAAATTGTTTTTAAATGTTATTAGGAAAAATAAAATATTAAATAAAAATAAAATAAAATATGCATAGTCAAGCAAAACAAATTCCCCACCCCTCAAAAAATGACCATATGACCTTCTGGTTCTAATTCTATGATCCTTTTATCCCATGGCTGGTACTGCCTATATAACCCTGGAAAAGTCCTAAATTTAACCTCTTCAGGCCAACTAGATGAGAAGATTTCTGCAGTCCTTCTCAACTCTAAATGCTTATCCTATTTTCTCCATTTTGCAGATGGGGAAATTATATTCAAAAAAATTAAGTAACTA